ATGGAGTTAAAAAACGGTCATTCATACTCTTTGGTGTCAATGCTTACTTTCCTTCTTCACTATGAGTAGCATAAGATTGCTATCGTGGAATGTGCGGGGTCTGAATATTCCACTAAAAATAACTAGTACTCTGGATCTCCTTCATAGAAAAAATATAGAAGTAGCCATGCTACAAGAATCTCACCTCCTAGAGAAAGACGTTAACAAGATGCAGAATAACCATTTTAAAGTAATCGCGTCTTCTTCTTTTATTAAAAAAGCAAGAGGTGTTTTGATCTTGGTTAAACATACACTTCATATCACACTCTTGGGTTCTGGATGTGACACATCGGGAAGGATTGCATACGCCAAATTAATCATAAATGGGTCTAAATTTGCATTTTTGTCAGTATACGCACCAAACGAGTTTGACATTGAGTTCTACAACCACCTAACAGACATAGTGTGTGGTTTAGCTGACTTTACTCTGATAGTTGGAGGGGATTTTAACGCTGCCTGGTCTCACACTCTGGACAGATCGTGCATAAATCAATCAAGGGATCAACGCCTAAGCTCCGAGGCCCTAAGACAATGGGCCGCTGATTGCTCTTTGGTGGACGTATGGCGCATCACACACCCAAAATTAAAACAATTCACATATTTCTCTCCCAGACACCAATCATCTTCTCGTATTGATTATATTTTTGTTTCTACACATATGCATGATAAAACCTCAGATTTTGATTTCCTCCCAATGTCTCTTTCAGACCACAAACCAGTGACGGGTAAAATACATATATCCCCAACCCCTAAGAGAGCAACCCGATGGCGATTTAATTGCTCCTTATTACAAAACGATGAATTTGTCAAAGAAATGAAAGATCATTTGAGTGAAATAATTTCGTGGAATAAATCATCTGTTGATGATCCTAGAATCCTCTGGGAGGCAGTGAAGGGCTGCATTAGGGGGAAAGCAATCGGCTTTGCCTCTCATCTAAAGAGAACTAGATTCCAACATATCGTATCGCTGGAAAAACAAATAGCTGAACTTGAACAGGATATGATCTCCAATAATTCATCTGAGTTAATGTCGAAAAACGAATTACTGAAAAAGGAACTAAACCAACTACTCACTAAAAGAGCAGATTTTCTGATGCATCGCGTAAGACAAAACTATTATTTGAATAGCGCTCAGCCGAGCCGATTATTAGCAATAAAGTTAAATACATGTGAAAACCTTGCTAATATAATCGCCATCAAGACCAACACTGGCTGCTTAGTCACCGCTCCTAAAGACATTAACAATGCTTTTTCAGAATTCTACAAAACCTTATATTCTTCTGAAACAAATATCAAGGATCAGGCTATTCCAGCTTTTCTGAATCCTTTAAAGCTACGCTGCCTCCCAGAGCAGGGCCGTGTGAATTTAGACGCCCCCATTACCTTATCTGAATTGTATAACGCTCTACGAACTATGAAAACTGGAAAATCACCCGGCTTAGATGGTCTACCACCAGAATTATATATAACTTTCTGGCCAGAGTTGGGTCCCCTCTTAATGGGAATGATAAATTGGTCCATCTCAAACGGTTCATTTCATAAGCACACTAATACAGCTCTTATTTCCTTACTGTTGAAAACAGAGAAGGATCCTTCCGAATGCTCTAGCTATAGACCACTTTCGCTGTTGAATGCTGACATTAAGCTATATGCAAAAGTTCTGGCTTCCCGTTTAGAAAATTTTATGGAGATCCTGATTCACGAAGATCAAACCGGTTTTATAAAAAAGCGTCTTGCTTCAGATAACACGCGCCGTCTTCTCCATATTGTTGAGTACGCCAAGAAAATAAAATCCTCAGCCGCTGTTCTCTCATTAGATGCAGAAAAGGCTTTTGATCGCCTTGAATGGCACTTCTTATGGTCAGTATTAAAGTACATGGGATTTGGACCTCAATTTATATCTATGATTAGATTATTATATGCCAATCCCATGGCTATGGTATTGACCGGACAGACACTCTCTCAGGCTTTCCAAATATCACGCGGCTCTCGCCAGGGATGTCCTCTATCACCTTTGTTATTTGCGATTAGCCTTGAACCTGTGGCACAAGCAGTACGCCAATCAACTCTCCATAGACCCATCAACATAGCCAAAACATCTCACTCAATATCTCTCTATGCAGATGATGTATTACTCTATCTGGAGGATGTGGCTCATTCACTCCCTCATCTCCTTGGCATTTTCAATAACTATGGTCTAATTTCAGGCTATAAGGTGAACTGGACAAAGTCTGCGATTCTTCCACTCAATAAAACTGCTCTTCTCGAAAGCACAGTATCTAATATTCCAGTGGTAGACCATTTGAAATATCTTGGAATTTCTATATATCCTTGCCTCTCAGATATAGTTAAAAACAATTACAGTAGACTAGCATCAGATGTCGAAGAGGACTTACGCAAATGGAACTCACTCCCCTTGTCTTTTCATGCCCGCATTTCAGTAACTAAAATGAATATTCTTCCCCGCGTCAATTTCATAAGCTCAATGATACCCCTCTCACCTACAAAGGGATACTGGGAAAAGTTGCATTTATTAGCTGCAAACTTTATCTGGAGCAATAAAAAACATAGAGTCAAATTATCAAATTTGCAAAAAAATAAAAATAATGGAGGGCTTAATGTCCCAAATTTCAAATGGTACCACTGGTCTTTTGTTCTTCGCCCCCTGAGTCAGTGGTTAAATCCATCCTCAATGGCCTCTTGGAGACCCTTAGAGGAGCAACTTGTGCTTCCTCATAGACTCCAAGACTTTTTGTTCGCAAATACTTCTTCAAATGATTCTTCAAAGCATGGCTCAATAATTGGTGAAATGATAAAAATTTGGAATAGCATTAGCAAACTCTGCAATATCCAGGAGAAATGGTTTTCTCATTCTCCAATTTTTCATAATCCTCTGCTTACTATTGGAGGTATCCCAATTTCTTTCTCTCAATGGTCCAGTAGAGGAGTACATGTTTTGCGGGATATTTGCAACTCTTCTGGTCTTTTAGCATTTCAAGATTTACAAAAACTATACAATTTGCAGGGATCAACATTTTTCTTCTACCTTCAACTGCGGACAGCAATGCGCACTTATGGGGTCCCATGGAACAGTTCTCCGCCTACCCATTCAATCCATTCAATGTTAATGAAAACATATAGATCAGTCTCTAAATTATATTCTCTATTGCAATTAGCTGAAGATGAGCCTATTCGTGCTGTCCGATCGTGGAAAGAAGATCTTTTGGATCCATCAATGGCTAATTGGCAAACTATTTGGCTGAATATGCAACTGTCCTCAAGAAATCCTAATCATCGGGTCATTCATTTTAACTTTATACACAGGACATATTTCACTCCAAGTACTTTATTCAAGATGAAGGCACTTGCCTCTCCTAACTGTACACTTTGCAATCACAATACACTAGGGACCTTTCTCCATATGGTTTGGGATTGCCCAGAGGTTAAACATTTCTGGATATCTGTCTGTAAACTATTATCCGATTTGTTATTGAAGGATATCCCCTGCACTCCTGAAGTTTTACTTCTCAATGACAGCTCCACTCTCGGTTTTAATATAATGGAAAAACGTGTATGGTTGGCTGGTCTTACAGCAGCTAAGCGTATACTTGCTTGCAGATGGAAGACACCACAGTTTGTCAACACGAGAAAGTGGCTTAGAGACTTCGTTGATATTTTAAAACTAGAACAATGGGTCTCACAAATGCATCATGCAAAACCAACTAACATACAATACTGGGACAAAGTACTTTCCACCATTATCCAAGCACTGAGTAAATTGGTGTAGGGCTTCTCATGGCAGAAGGAATAACTTATTGCTACCTGGATATCGACGACTAACATACTGCATAAGGTCGGGGCCGGGGTGGTTGGGGGGTTTTGGGGGGGGCGGAGGGTTCGGGTCCTAGGGGGCGGGTGGTAGGGGGTGGGGGGATGAGGTTTGCCTTGCTCCCTTTTGTTTCTCTCTGTTGTCATTGTTTTACACGCTAATTTAATCTCCTTCCCAGTACTGTTTTATTAAATTGTACGTATTCAAGCTACTAAAAGCTTCAATAGGTGGTATTCTAATACTTCCTGGAAAATGTATGGTTATTTTATATTATTTATTATTTTATTATTATTATTACTTTTCAATTATTATTTCAATTTGTTTTTATTTTGTTTTTATTTGTTTGTATTTTTTGTTTTGTAATTTTTTTTTTTTGTTTTGTGTTTTTTGATGGTTTTTTTTTTGGGTGTGTGAGCTGTACTCATCCCTGCACTCTCCTTGAAAATAATAATAAAAAATTGATCACAAAAAAAAAAAACAATGCAATAGTTGTTTAAGTTGGTAAACGGCAGCTAACAAATCATTCTTGGTAACTACGGTAACTGTCAAAAGTCAGATTCCACACTGGTAAAATGTACTTTTTGACTGCCTTAAAACAATATTTGCAATAGTGGGCTGCTCTAAACAAGACAAGGACACACTGCTTGGAATAAGACTAAACTGTTTGTCTGAAAACAAAATTCACCGGTGGGACTGATAGATATGATAGAGAGATGAGAGAAAGAACTTGAGATGTTTCCATTGGCCTCCATCTGGATTTACATTCACAATATCACAACAAAAACACCAGGGTCGAAGAAGGCTCTAAATTGTAAATTTCTTAATCCCAAAATGGTGATTGTGACGTAAACGGTTTCAGATCTCAAGGAGTTTACTTTTACGTGTAAGTCAATAGGAGCCAGAGCGAGTTGGAGCAAAACTTTGTCTATGAGCACTTCCTTATTAGGCTTCATTGAGCTAGTGTGTTAGCATTGTCTAGGCAAGGCAAGGCAAGTTTATTTGTATAGCACAATTCACTCACAAGGCAACTCAAAAGTGCTGAACAAGATAGCATTAAAATAATAATAACATCATAAATAATCACTGTCTACTACAGTCTATGGTTGTAACCAGAGCCTGTGTTTCTGTGCAGATGCAGGAGTTGGAGCAAAGGGTCATCGAAGCCGACCAGAGAGCGGAGACGGCGGAGAAACAGGTAAAACAGAAAAAATATGAAAAAATCTCCTCTGAAGCAAATCCACCAAACTTTACTTCATACGTTTAAAGCTGGGTGACTTATCTTTCCAACTATGCCAAACAGTCCATTTAACAAGCTCCTGAAAGAATAAGGACATATGAAGCGTCAGTGTTAAAAAAAATACTTTTTTCTTATAATTAATGAGACAAAGGCATCTTACTCCTTCTGTGGAGACCAAAAGTTTAGGCACCCTAGCTTTAACATAGCAATTTCAATATACTTGCTTTTTTATTTTGCCAAAATATACTGTATAATAATAGCCCCATTTCCACCAGCCCTACTCGGCCTTACTTTGCTCTACTCCACTTTGGAGTTTTTCCACTGGCCCTGTTTAAGTGGTACAATTTTTTAGTCCCTTTTGGTCCTTGTTCTATCCAGGCCGACCTGGTACTAAAGTGTTCCAATAGACAGGGATTGGCAAGAGAGCTGCAGGAACCCAGGTTTGTTGTGGGTAGATTGCTAGGACGTGGTACTGGACACTGAAAGAGTAATGAAAACGTTGTAGAGTAGAATAGAGAGCAGTAGGATTATTTTTTTCATTCCAAGTGAGACAGTTCTTGTGTCTTTTAAAACAAGATCATTTTGCTTTCTTCCATTGACAATTCTTATTTTATGGCAGTCAGAATTTTCTTAATTAAGATATATTTTGCCAAAATTGAGCAATTTTTGACACATTTTCATCAGTTTTTGCAGTCGGCATTGAAAGCAGCCTCATATTTAAGTGCATATACAAGTTTTCATGTCGTGATTAAGTTGGTATGTTTTTCAGACTTCCAGGAAATAGAATTTCCCTTTGTGTCAGTTTACATAGGTTTGTCTGATTCTGCAGCTGCTTCGGTGTTAATTAGAGGCTTCACGCTTACCTCATCTGTAGGTGGTAATTTTATGGAGCCTTCACTTCAATAACATGGAATACCAGAGCGCTGACTCAGCTGCTCCTCTCCTATAGGAACTCTCCAACACTCACTGTCCGCAGCAAGGGTGTCCATACTTTTCCTCCATCAGAGATACTATAGAACAAACAGCTATTCCTTTAGGCAGGTGAAAGAAAGCCCACATGTTGAACTAACGGCTTTGTGTTTTGGAAGAATAATTCATTAGTGTATGTACATGTTTGGTATTCCTAACTTTAACTGTGCAGCTGTGTCGCACCATGGATCTATAATGATATCTGGATAAGGTATCACTAGCTCACTAGCTTGGAGCTGTCCCGCCAATGGGCACAGGGGCCTGCGGTACTGTAGACTAAATTCACGTGGGCTACCCAGATAAAAGTACCATAGAACTCAATGTAAATTAAAACAGCTCAACCTCAGCTGACAGAGCATCTACAGGTCGGATCTTCATAAAGGTCGGATTTTTGTGTGTCTTGTTACCCTGAACTTTTTTCTTGTTAAATCCATTGGTTTTCTATAAATTCACACTTGAGTTGCAACAAACTCTGCTGGTTTTCCTCCCGCTCGAGCTCCGTTCTGATCAGAAACTCTAAGTGGTCAGAACGCGGAAGTGTCCCTCTGTGCACACGCATGAGCCACACACGTGTATTTGGCACAAAGCATCATGGGAGCTCGTCCACTGCGCAGAACTGGGAGGACCAGACTGGGAGAATTCTGCTAATCTTTTGGTGTCCATATATGTCCCATAGCTACTGGTGCTTGGTGTGCGCCTGCAGGGGGTGTACCCACCGGCAGAGCGTGGGGAAATATCAGTGTTGCATCACAAGTTACAGAACAATGAGGAGCACACAGGAAAAAGTACAAATCTTCTTGGAAAGTGAGCTTGTGCGAGCGATGCCAACAGTGACTTGTAAACAGAGCGTGCACGAGGAAAACTAGGCTTGTGCACGTTTCTCTCACATGGTGATCTCACATGAATAAAACATAATTTTGAATCAAAGTGAACCATTGATGTCACGTGAAGATTATGCATATGTTGTCTTTACACCTGACCTTTCCTCAAACTCAACTTTAATCTTTAACCAAACTTTCTCTTTCCTCTCTTTAGATTCTCGTCATGGAGGAAAAGCTCAAATCAGCCAATGTCCAAACCAGCGAATCAGAGAGCAGCTTGTTCCGAAAGCACCAGGAATTAACCAATCAGCTTCAAGAAAAAGACGCAGCGATTAAACGATTAGAAACACAGCTGGAAAAACAAGTAAGAGAGATTTATCAAGTTGACCAATTTATTATTGTTTCCATTACCCTTCAGTATCTGGTCCTTACCACAGCAACCAACCCACGGCAAACCAGTGTCCAGGGAAATTCCTTGGTAATCATGGATTCCAGCAGCACTCTGGCCAACCTCTAACAGTCAGAACCCTTTATTACCAGCTCCGCCTGGACCAGGACCAAGCAGATTTTTTAGAAGTACCAGTTAAACAGGGTTAGTGGGATCCTTCCGGTTCCCAGAGGGAGGACTAGACATAGGCAGCATTTCAAACCTTTGTACCTAAATTCAGGAACAATCTTCCTGAAGGAGTGAGACAGGCTACTCCCCTTGCTATATACAAGTCTAGGCTGAAAACAGTTATTTTTAGCATCATTGTTTTTAGATTGCCTTTTACGTGTGTTTTAATGTTGTCTACGTAAAGTACTTGTTGTATTCTGTATGAACTGTGCTGTAGAAATAAATGTTGATGGATTGTTTGATGCTAATACACGTCCATGGTGTGAATGCAGATTGTGGTGAGAGCTCAGGAGTCGAAGATCATCGAAGAGAAGGCGGCGAAGATTAAGGACTGGGTCACGGTGAAGCTGCGAGAGGTGAGACTGTGTCTGTGCCACTGTGGGAAAAGCCCCAGTTTGGATCAGACTTCGCTTTAAGTCACCATAAACCCTGGAATACTGTGGGAATAGCAGCCGGCAGAGTGTGTGGAGTGTGTGGGATGGATGAGGTCATGGGAAGTTAAAGGTACAAGAGCGTTTAGATGGAAAAAATGAAGAAGAGACAAAAATTAGAGAAGTACTGTACTCAAATGTCATGTGTGCATTGAAAAAGATAGATAGAAAGATAGATAGACAGGTGAGTAGGTAGATATCAGGAGAGAGATATAGATTGATAGAGAGATATATCTGGAGAGATAGATGTATAGAGAGGGATAGAGAGATAAATATATATATAGAGAGAGATAGATATTTTATTGATCCCTATGAAAGAAATGCAGGTGTCCAGAACAGAAACACATCCATCCAAACAAACACACAAGTACATATTTCTAAAGGTTTCTAAAGTAACTAATAAATATGAGCGGCCATGGTGTATAGGAAGTAGTGGAAAAATGTCTGCAACTTTTTATATGATTTTTAAAAGCATGCCTATTTTTGGTCCCTAAGACCCTGTAGTCTCATGTTAAGAAAGTTGACCACTACTAATAGAGTTGCTGGAGGGGAATAGTTGGACCAATGCCAGGGGCCCTCATCTATGTATCAAGGATTTAAATGTATTTTGTCCAATCATAAAGAAGTGGTGGTGACCCATGTTTGCCTGGTAAAAAAAAGCTCTGTCTTCACAATTGATGGGGAGGAGGAGGGTTGCTGCACAAATAAAAGCTCGAGGTAGGACAGTGCTTAAAGGCCTCCAGTTATGCAGTATATCATCATCAAACTTTTATTACAGGCTCATGGTCCACGATAAGACAAATACATCACATAAAAAGAAACACAAAACAACACATATAGTCATAGCAATAAGCCTCACTCAGAGCAAACAGCAAAACCAGTGTCTCCACAGATCTGACTGGTACCGCATGGCACTGTATTGGACATTTGTCAGGCTTACGACAATAATATTTTGGCTTTCATTGAGCAGACAGATAAAACTGTACATCAGACATTGCCACTGATACTTATTGCTCCTAATTTTAAGCGTTTACAGCTATTTTAATAGAAAATACATTTATCTCTGTATTTTTGTGTCCTCTTGGCTCTAAAGGTCTATCTTCCCATCTATCTCTTACTATTGTCCTATATGTGCGCTGCAACCCTGAAATTTTCCCACTGTTGAACGAGTAAAGGTTCTCTCATCTTATCTTACTTGTGTTCAAACATATAACATTCTTTCAGATGGAGCAGGAAAACCAGCAGCTGAAGACGTCCAATCAGAAGCAGTCTGAGAAAATAGTGCTGCTGCAGGACAAACTGCAGAGTAAGTTAACAGTTAAAATTCTTAACTGTTAATAATTTGGATAATTTATGCAGAATAATTATCAACAATCATTGGCATTTCTGGTGTTTGTTCAGTGCTGTTGGAGAAGGCCCCGTCCTCCTGTGGGACCTCTCCGTCTCTGGACACTCACCAGGTCCCGGTCAGTCCGCTGTTCCCGCCAACCAGCCCTGGGTCACCTGGTCCCGCTGGGTCTCCTCTGCCTCAGGACGAGAGCTGGAGAGCGGGAGGAAGCCGAGGAAACATGCCCCTGAAGAAGACACTGCTCACAGGTTCAGAGAGAATATGGTTTTAATTCAGGGCAGCTCACCTGTTTGTTTTGTTTACTGTAAATCTGTCATGATCCCATCCAGGTTTTATCTTTCGCTCATAGATAGATAGACAGATAGATAGATAAATAAATAGTTACATACAGTAGATACATAGATAGATAGATAGATAGAGTGTAATAATCATCATCTTTAGAGAAAAAGTCATTATTATTGCAGAAAAGACATGCGCCCTTCGCACGGGTGGAAAGAAGGCAGAGTGGCCCATACTTAAGCATGGATTCGAGAGTACTTTTAAAAGACTCAGCGGGCGAATAGCACTGTATATAAGCACTTTAACACATTTTTCACCGCGGTAAAGTGGCCCGGCAGGAAGCCGCGGGGATGAGCAACCAAAATCCCCCCCGCTTTCCGTTCTACGTTTACTGTAGGTAACGGCATAAAAGGACAACCACTTTACCGCTGCCGTTTTTCGCTGTTCTTTTCTGAAAGAATTAGAAAAAAAACGTAATCTGTCCCCAGCGGGCCGTACAACCAACCACACAACAGGAACGGACCATTTGATTTAGTAGAACCTCTCTACAAACGTCTAAAACTAGCTAACTCTCTAGCATTCAGGTAGCTTCCAATGCTATAGCGCCACACGGCCACGTGACCGGCGTGGAAAAACTATAAACAACGACGTCACTCCAAGATCCTCCTATAGCTTGGGGTCTCTCACTTTTTCCCACTCGATTTTGAGTGGTTCCTTGTCGATACGGAATGATGATCCAGGACATCTAAGAACATTTACTACCCTTTGTGGTCATTGGTAATTTGCCCCCTATGGACCAATGGCTGTACAGATTCATTGCGGGAGAAAAATAGTGAAAGTGTTAGCCCAAACCAAATAGATGGGCCTCTACCAAATGGGTGGGATGCAGTTGGATGGAAAGTTCCAAAAGCTAAGTGATGGAGATGCCCCAAAGAGGTACTTTTTCAGTTTCAAGCTTGAAGGACGGAAGGTGATCCACCAAGTGGTTGAGGAACCCATAAAAGGCGGATGTCCTTGTATGGTTTCGATCTTGATTTTGTCACAAGGCCACTTTGAGCGGCATAAACTGTGCCGTACAAATAAACTTGTCTTGTCTAATGCCTATTTTCAGATCACAAAAGATCCCCCGAGTCCCACGCCAAAGCCAAACCCGGTGCGATCGCCGACAACTCCTCCGACGAACTCAACTCCAAATTCCGCTCTCACTGCCTCCACTCTTCCTCCTCATCCTCCTCCTCATCCTCTGCTTACGAAATGGCCCACGGTCCAGTCCCCAGTACCCAAACCTCCACGCTGTCTCGCTCTCCCTCCACCAACAACCCCTTCCCCATCCAGTCCAGCATGACGCTCCCTAAGGTCCGCACGCCGCTGACTCCCAGAGACAGTATCCAGCTGGTGAAGAAGCACTACAGCCAGCCACAGCCAGCTCTGGACCGCCTGCACCAGCTGAACGTCACCATTGACATCACGTCTTCCTCCACCACCTCCACGCTCAAAAGCACCGGGACCTCGGCGTATTCGCAGCTGGTGGAGGAGACGGATATCGACGACGGGTTAGCGGATGGTATGGACGTGGTGGCGGTGGAGGAGGAGGAGATAGTGGAGCAAGAGGAGTCCGCTGAGAGGAGCTCGATCCTGGGGTTGGATCAGGAGCTGGACAGACTGGATCCGGAGGTGCTCAAACCTCCCACCCCCCCGCTACACAGGTTCCCATCGTGGGTAAGACTGAGTGGAGTAATGTCTGCAATGAATGATTTGAAAGATAGAACGTTTTGTTTCATACACTGCCAAAAGTGATGAGAAATAAGACAAAAATTTCTCTCATTTGGAAAAATGTGTCTTAACTTGAGCACATTCTGACTAGCTTAAGACAAAGCAAATGATCTGCAATAAGATGAAATGGCTTTGTCCCAATGGTGAATCTTGTTTTAACACATCAGAATGTGCTCAGAGATAAAAACTAGTTCACTGGATTGAGATAAAAATGTAATCTAAACTCTGTTTGTTGACAGGAGAGCAGAATTTATGCTGTGGCCAAATCTGGAATGAGAGTCTCTGAGGCAACTGCAGGAGTCAGAGGAAGAGGTGAGGACTGCTGCTACTGCTACTTCTACTGCTGCTACTCCCCCAGAGGGAGGGGCAACCTGGGGGAGAGGGCCCTGCAGCACTCGGCCTCTTTAAAAGTGACCTCACCTGCTAAACCAAACTCACTGAGCTCCTTAGAATGGGCTTGGGGATGTGCCTACAGTGTTTCAAGAAAGGGTTTTGTTTCCAGTCAAGAATGATTTTTTTGTATTCATGAGTCTTCTATTGACCTTATTCTTTTCCATGTCATTCTTCTTTTTTCAATATTACTCACACACGTGCAATACAATATTGAATCATTACACATTCTCTTGTTTGCTGCAGGTGTCCCTCAGTTCGCAGCCAGCGGTCCTTTCTCTCAGCTCATCTACAGAAACATCAGTGTTCCTGTCTACACCACACTCAAAGGGGTGAGAGCCACACATCAAGCTATTGTCTCACACGCCATATACATATACTATCATTTTTCCACCGACAAAAGAAGACAATATATATTTGAACAGCTCTAGATCACAACAGCAGTCGTCTCGGAGGACTTTACAGAGATGTCAAGTTGTCAATATTGCCAAGAAAATCATCGTAGCCATCGATAGATATCGGGATAACCACAGTCCAGAAACGTTTTTATATTGTGTGTCCGGACCATCACTGTCTTTAGACCCACTGAGAGTCCGTGGGGGAAAAATGTGGGAAACCTCATGGAGCAATGAATCGCAATAAACAGACTACAGATGATCAACAATTCAATTCAATTCATTCTTGTATCGCCCTAAATCACAACAAAACCATTGAGCTTGCAAACACAGATCAGAATCAAACAGTTCAAAGAATAGAGAACACAAATGTATTGGTCCATAAGGGGCAGATGATTAATGTCCATAAATGTTGGAGATCCAGGACACTTTTTTTAGAGCCTCCTGCTTCAGACAACTAAGTCTAGAAACCCAGTGCGAGAAATTGAGAAACCTCAGGAAGGACAACATTGAGGGATGGATCCTCTCCAACGGACAGACAGGCTGTAGAGCCAGGACTCAAACTGTAGAACGAGGACTGAGGCCATGCAATGCAGACTGAGACACGCCCGGGGAGACTACAGCTGATTGATAACTGTGCAATTTAGGGATTTTTATGTAAATATCACTTGATTTCTCTCATCAAGGTCGAACAGTCTGAGTAGGTGGTAGGAGGGACAGGGCTTTGACACGTGTCTGTAATGTGTGTGTTTTGTGTTCAGAAAGCCACTCAGATCAGCAGTGTCCCTCTCCCTGATGACGACTCCGGCTCAGAGGACGACAGCAGCTCTCTGGTCTCTTTAAGAACCTCCACTCTCAATCCAGACACGAAGGGCAGTGTCCCGGGAAGTCCGCGGGCCGTCAAGAGAGGTCAGGCCTGGTTTACAAAGCATATTTTTACATACAGTAGTTTGACTTTAGTGAAATCCATGTCATCTTGTCACTTCTGATCTCTGAACATTGTATAGCGCGCTGGGTGACCTTGGTCTGTCACTTACTTACGTTGCTTGTTCCTCACTCTCAACACCATGTGGTTCTTTCACTAGTTTTTACATGCCCGTATATCAGGGGAAAAGAAAGGACTAACCTCACTCACCACAGAGGAACTGAGGAAACTATTACGACATGATTAAGCGCTCTAAAAAATCATTTCTATATGTGTTATCTAAGAATATTTGTCTTTTTATTGTTGTTGTTTTTCTCTTGTCTGTACAGCTCTTTGACAAGCCTAGTCTGTTTTAAATGGGCTTTACAAATACAGGTTGAATGATTGATATGTTAGATCAAAATTATTAAAATTATATTCTAGTAGATACAAAATTATTTAGCTGATTGATATTGAATCATAATTTCACTATATAATAATATAATATAAAAGTGAGCGATTATTTGACTAGAGCACAAATATACATGCATATATATACATATAAACAGATAGATAGATACTTTATTGTTCCATCGTAGGAGAAATTTAAGATAAATGACATAATATGTAGTAGGAAATGTGTATATAAAACTACCGCTGGTTTTGCTTTTGTTATATTTCCCTGTAAATGGCGACAACCATATATTTGAGGACTTAATGGGGGTGGGAGTAAATAAGCTTGTCTTCATCCCACTCCCTTCCAAGCTGTTTATTTATGTTTATTTTTTTTTCCTTTTCTATTGATGTGTTAATATTGTATAGCATCGTAATGTATTTCTTTTTATCTTGTGTTGTATTGTACCGGCTTGGAATAAACTAAACTAAACTAAACTAAACTAGATGGATGGAAGGATGTATGGTTTAGATTGATAGAGATAGATGACAGGTATTGCCTTTCTGTCTATCTATCTGTCTACTTGCCTCTCTCTACTTTCTGGGGTGTCCGTAGATAGATAGATAGATTGATTGATTGATTGATCAATCAATCTATCCAAACGTAAATGCAATGAGTTTGCTAATTTTTTCAATGACAAGGTTCAAGGCATCAAAAGCGCCATTGTCTCCAATCCACAGATAACCATCCAACAGCCAGAAAGGCTCTCTGAGCTAACTCACTTTGCACCTGTAAATGATAAAACTGTCCAAGAGATAATCTCCAGTTTGAGCTCCTCCACATGCAGCCTGGATGTACTACCCACTAGATTTCTGAAGTCTGTTCTGAGCAGTCTGTTACCTTCACTCACACAGATAGTAAACATGTCCCTTCATTCTGGAATATTCCCAAAGGCCCTGAAAACTGCAGTCATCAGGCCCCTGCTAAAAAAGAGCAGTCTCGATGCTACGGTACTTAACAACTATCGTCCCATCTCAAATCTGCCATTTATGGGGAAAGTCCTTGAGAAAGTTGTCTACCTACAGCTTACTAGATTTCTTATAATCAACAACTCATTTGATATGTTTCAGTCCGGCTTTAGACCCCACCACAGCACTGAGACTGCTCTCGTTAAGGTTACAAACGATATCCGGCTGAACACTGACGCAGGCAAAGTCTCAATCTTAATCTTGTTAGATCTAAGTGCTGCCTTTGACACCGTCGACCATGAGATCCTCTTACAGAGATTAGAGGACTGGGTTGGCGTCACTGGCACCGCCCTAAGTTGGTTTAGGTCTTACCTCGAAGACAGGAAGTACTTTGTGGAGATTGGAAACTGTGTCTCAGATCATATGGCCCTGACCTGTGGAGTCCCACAGGGGTCGATCCTGGGACCTCTTCTGTTCAATCTCTACATGCTGCCGTTAGGTCAGTTAATACGCAGAAACAAAGTTTCCTATCATAACTATGCAGACGACACTCAGATCTATGTCTCACTGACTGCAGGAGAACATGGACCAGTGGACTCACTCCTTCACTGTATCCAACAGATCAGTGAGTGGATGCAAAACAACTTCCTTCAGCTAAACGCAGACAAAACTGAAATGATTGTCTTTGGTCCCCAGAAACAAAGAGAGAGCGTCATCTGTCACCTACAGTCTCTCTCCCTAAAACCTTCAAACAAGGTCAGAAATCTAGGGGTAATACTGGACTCAGACTTAAATTTTAATAGCCACATCAAATCAGTAACATCAGCAGCTTTTTACCATCTAAAAAACATTGCCAGGATCAAAAACATAGTGTCTAAAGCAGACTTGGAGATTCTTATCCATGCATTTGTCTCCAGTAGGTTAGACTACTGCAATGGCCTGCTCACAGGTCTGTCCAAACAGGCTGTAAAACAGCTGCAGTACATTCAAAATGCAGCAGCTCGAGTCCTGACAAGAACCAGGAAGTACGACCATATTAGTCCGGTCCTCAGGTCTCTGCACTGGCTTCCTGTGGCTCAAAGAATAGACTTTAAAACAGCTCTGCTTGTGTACAAGTCTCTCCATAGCCTCGCACCAAAATATATTAGTGACATGTTAGTCCCATATGAACCAGCCCGGACTCTGAGGAGCACAGGGACTGGACTCCTGTTAGTGCCCAAAGTCAGAACTAAACATGGGGAGGCTGCTTTTCAGATTCATGCTGCTAAAATCTGGAACAGTCTTCCTGAAGATGTGAGACAGGCCTCCTCTCTGACAATGTTTAAAACCAGGTTAAAGACGGTTCTGTTTAACTGTGCATACAACTGAGGGATTTTATATTTTTATCTTTCTTTTTAATGTTCTGTGATAATTTATGATTTTAATGCTTTCTTGTTTTGTTCAGCACTTTGAATTGCCTTGTGTATGAATTGTGCTATATAAATAAACTTGCCTTGCCTTGCCTTGATCTGTATTTCTTCCTCTCTGTCCTTTCAGGGGTGTCCATGTCATCTGTCAGCTCAGAGAGTGACTATGCCATTCCCCCTGACGCATACTCTCTGGACAGTGACTATTCCGAGCCCGAACACAAGGTGCAGAGGACGTCAGCGTACTCCTGTGAAAGTGCCGGGCCAGTACGTAGCACTTTATACACAAAAACTCCACTTTTAAACTCCTGGCTTCTCTCAGATATGACCCTCCTCTTGAGGATGCTAGAGCTGGGAACTGAGGATTTGACACAGACAGTATTGTGATTTGATTCTGTGATATATTATGATTCATGTCCCTCATAAAAGGAAAATAAGACTCTTGTCCTCTGTGACATTTATTATGGTCTGCACATCAACTGAGGCAAACTTAACTGAGGGTAGTGCAAACACGACATTATCCTTGAACGTTCAGGACACAGGACAGGACAGGATATCACAATACTTTGCTCTGTATCCATTTAGTGGTGTGTGAAAATCGCGATACTGAACAGACTGGATTCTTTCCCTCCGCCACAGGAGACGCTGGAGAAGTCTGGTTACCTGCTGAAGATGGGGGCTCAGGTGAAGGCGTGGAAGCGACGCTGGTTTGTGCTCAGGAACGGAGAGATCCTCTACTACAAGTCTCCTGTGAGTCTGTGATAGAGATGGACAGAGCTAACACAGCTTTAGCTATAGCTGAAGCTACAGACTTATTTTTGCTTCTATGTCATTGGAAATCAAATTATGAACAAGACGGGATCAGCCTGACTATGGGCCGGTTGGTTGCCGTGAGGTTGCTATGAAAGAAATTGGCTTCAAATCCCGCCCAGCTCCAATTGCCACAATTAGTAAATGGTAATAGATGGCCCTACGAACATAAGGTAAAAGTCCCAAAATGAAGATAGATAAATAGATAGATAGATAGATGCAGATAGATGGGTAGGTAGATACATTTAAAAGTTACTAACAATAGTAAAATAGTGCACATATTTAGCTAACAGAACTCTACAGTCTTATGGCCGAGGGAACAAATGATCTCTAAAAACGTGTCAATACTGATTTTGAGCACCTTTTTATTTTTATGTTGAAGCAGTATTTGTCGTTGTTTTTTCAGAGTGATGTGATCCGGAAACCTCAGGGTCAGATCGAGCTGAACTCGTCCTGTCGCATCATCAGGGGAGAGGCGGCTCAGACGTTTCAGGTGAGATTACTCAGATTATTCAGATTATGTCATGAGGTGATGAGATCCAGGGCTCTATATACTTTATACCTATAACTATATATTAGTAGTTTTGATCGTTCACCACCAGGTGTGTGTGTATGTGTGACCTGTGTGTCTGTGTGTGTGTGTGTGTGACCAGTGTGTGCGTGTGTGTGTGTGTGTGTGTGTGTGTATGTGTGACCTGTGTGTGCGTGTGTGTCTGTGTGTGTGTGTGTGAGACCAGTGTGTGTGTGTGTGTGTGTGTGTGTGTGTGTGGAGGTCTGGTCCTGGGACAGAGGGGCTTAGGCTGCATACCAGAGCTGCACTGGGACCTCTGATGGATCTCCACTCAGGAATGTTTCAAAGAGACTTTGCAAAGTGTGGGCCTCATGTGCGAATAGTGGACGAGAGGCTGACGTGTTGTTTGGACCTGTGTCAACTTTTCACCGCATAGAAGACAGGAGCGTGTCGAGATTAAAGGGTCAAAACAAACTTTCAAAATAAGTCTCAAAGTAAGAGCAGAAAGACAAGAGGGAAACAAGAGAGCGACCAGGGAGAGACCAGAGAGAGACCATAGAGAGACCATAGAGAGACCATAGAGAGACCATAGAGAGACCATAGAAAGACCATAGAGAGAGACCATAGAGAGAGACCATTGAGAGACCATAGAGAGACCATAGAGAGACCATAGAGAGACCATAGAGAGACCATAGAGAGACCATAGAGAGACCATAGAGAGACCAGAGAGAGACCATAGAGAGACCATAGAGAGACCATAGAGAGACCATAGAGAGACCATAGAGAGACCAGAGAGAGACCAGAGAGAGACCAGAGAGAGACCAGAGAGAGACCAGAGAGAGTGCAGAGAGGGAGACCGGAGGGGATCACATTATGAAGGACTATGGCATTCTCATCCACATGGAGCAATAAAAACATGTTAAAGATGTAGGGATTGAGCTGTGCTTCTGTGCCTTCAGCTGATCACAGAGAAGAAGACGTTCTTCCTGACGGCTGACTCTCCCAACATCCTGGACGAGTGGATCAGAGTCCTGCAGAACATCCTCCGGGTCCAGACCTCCAGCTCGCTCTCTGCTCAGACCTGCGCCAAACCTACGGCCCGCGGCTGGCTCACCAAGGTCCCACTCTCACTCAGACTCCGACTCAGACCATGGCACAAAACACATTCAGATCATTTGCCATTTGCAGTAAAACCACATTGGAATACATGTGCATAAGTCCCTCTGAATACCAATAATGACCGCTGCCAATGGCTACGCAATCTGTGCTTGTAATTCACGTGTGTCATATCAGAATCAGAATCAGAATCAGAATCAGAATCATTTTTATTGCCACGTAAGTAACAGGAGGTCACAGACTTGGAAATTGCTTTGGCTCAGTGCAACAGTCAAAAAGAGATAATAAAAATAAGAATAAAAAACACTTCTAAAGAATAAATTTAAATTTAAAATAGAGTTACAGTTACTATTTACAATATACAAGTGCACATGGTGCACACAATGTAAGGTGACAGCAGTACAGTGAAGTAAAGTGACGTATGATGGGCAGTAAAGTGACTTTATAAAGGGCGGGGGGACAGGTTAAGAAGTGTTCAATAGTCCAACAGCAGAGGGGAAGAAACTGTTCTTGTGGCGGGAGGTTCTAGTCCTGATGGACCGCAGCCTCCTGCCTGAGGGGAGTGGTTGGAATAGTCCATGTGCAGGGTGAGAGGGGTCGGCTGTGATACGACCAGCCCGGCCTCGAGCTCGGGCGACGTACAGGTCCTGCAGAGATGGAAGGCTGCGGCCGATCACTTCCTCTGCAGAGCGCACAATGCGCTGTAGTCTCTGTTTGTCCCTGACTGTGGCTCCAGCGAACCACACGGTGACGGAGGAGGTGAGGATGGACTCGATGATGGCCGTGTAGAACTGCACCAACATGTGTGCAGGCAGCTTGGCTTTCCTGAGCTGCCGCAGAAAGTACATCCTCTGCTGGGCCTTCTTGATGAGGGAGCTGATGGTCGGCTCCCACTTGAGGTCCTGGGTGATGGTGGTGCCCAGGAAACGGAAGGACTCCACAGAGGTGATGGGGGAGTCCATCACGGAGGGTGGGGGCGGGGGGACAGTGCTCTTCCTGAAGTCCACAATCATCTCCACTGTCTTCTGGGCGTTCAGCTCCAGGTTGTTACCACTGCACCAGGACACCAGCCGGTCCACCTCCCTCCTGTAGGCGGACTCATCGTTGTTGGAGATGAGTCCAATGAGGGTGGTGTCGTCCGCGAACTTGATCAGCTTCACGGAGTCGTGGCTGGAGGTGCAGTGGTTGGTGTACAGGGAGAAGAGCAGGGGAGAAAGAATACAGCCCTGTGGGGCTCCTGTATTTATCATCCGAGAGTCCGAGACATTCTTCCCCAGACGCACTCGCTGCTTCCTGTCCGTCAGGAAGTCAGTGATCCACCTGCAGGTGGAATCGGGCACGTTGAGCTGGGAGAGCTTGTCCTGGAGCAGGGATGGCAGGATTGTGTTGAAGGCAGAGCTGAAGTCCACGAACAGGACCCTGGCGTAGGTCCCGGGGAGTCCAGGTGCTGTAGGATGTGGTGGAGGGCCAGGTTAATGACGTCGTCTACAGATCTGTTGGCTCTGTAGGCGAACTGCAGGGGGTCCAGGAGGGGGGAGGTGAGGGACTTGAGATGGGAGAGAACCAGGCGTTCAAATGACTTCATGACGACAGACGTAAGTGCTACAGGTCTGTAGTCATTGAGTCCTGTGATCCTGGGCTTCTTCGGGACGGGGACAATGATGGAGGATTTGAAGCAGGCCGGGACATGGCAGGACTGCAGAGAGGTGTTGAAAATGTCAGTGAACACAGGAGTAAGCTCACTGGCGCAGTGTCTCAGAGTGGCCGGAGACACGTGGTCCGGGCCAGGAGCTTTGCGGGGGTGCAGCCTCAGGAAGAGTTGTTTAATCTCTTTAGCGGCTATTGTTAGGCTGGGGGCAGGGCTGATGGGTGGGTCGTTAGAGTAGTGGGGGGTGGGGGAGGGAGAGGTGTCAGGGGCAGCATCAAAGCGACTGAAAAATAAGTTCAGTTCGTCAGCTAGCTTGTGGTCGTCAGCACAGGGGGGGGCTTTGGGTTTGTAGTTGGTGATCTCCCGTAGGCCCCTCCAGACAGAAGCAGTATCGTTGTTACCAAACTGCTCCTGTAGTCGTTCTCTGTGCCGGGACTTGGCTGCTTTCAGTTCTTTCCTGAACTGATATTTAGCTGCTTTGTAGCTGCTGCAGTCCCCCTCCCTGAAAGCAGACTCCTTTGCTTTCCTGAGCTGCCGGAGTTTAGCAGTGAACCAGGGTTTGTCGTTGTTATAGATGACCCTGGTCCTTGTTGGAATGATGCTATCCTCACAGAAGTGAATGTATGACGTCACAGTGTCCGTATATTCATCCAAACTATCTGTGGCAGCTCTGAAAAGGTCCCAGTCTGTAGATTCCATGCATGCGCGCAGCTCTTCCACAGCTTCATCAGACCACACTTTGGAGCTCCTCACTGCAGGTTTCGAGAGCTTTAGTCTCTGTCTGTAAGCAGGAACCAGATGTATCATGGAGTGATCTGAGAAGCCGAGGGCTCCGCAAGTACTCCGGCCACTTCCTCAACAAGCTTTCAGTTGCCCCTGAGGTCAGTTTACCCTGAGATGACCCAAAGTTCTTCATCTCCAACTGCACCTACAATGGGAACATCCAGTTTAATATAAATGAGTAGCTAGCCTGCTGTTGCTAGCCTAGCTGTTAATCGCCTAGCCATGTTAGCTCCGTCCAATAAACAAAAATAACAATCAATCAACACATTTAAATATTAATCAGATTATACATTATACATATACATTCTTAACACACATGCACAGAGGTTGTCATGACAATGTGTTTCAATGCGACAAACTGCAATTGCATTAAACCCTGAAGTATCCATTAACATTAATACAAAACATGATCTGATTATGGATTCTGGTTGAGTTTATAAATGGCTCACTCACCGCTGAAGTTTACAAATCTTTATTCAGTTTTCATGCTTTAAAGAGTCGACCATCATTCCAGTTCCTAAGAAAACTCCTGTGACATGCCTGAATGACTATCGTCCTGTGGCCCTCACGTCTGTTCTTATGAAAACTTTTGAGCGGCTTGTGCTGGACTTCATTAAGAGCCAGATCCCTGTGAGTATTGACCCGCTCCAGTTTGCTTACAGACAGAACAGGAGTGTGGAGGATGCCATCTCCTTTGCTCTGAACTCTTTCTACGGTCACTTGGACACTAGTAAATCTGTGGCCAGAATGCTTTTCATCGATTATAGCTCTGCTTTTAACTGCCTTGTCCCAGTTAAACTGATTGAAAAGCTCATGTCTCTTGGTTTAAGTGTTGCCATGTGAAAATGGATTTTTAGCTTTTTAACTGACAGATCTCAGAGAGTGAAAATCAATGACTGTTTTTCTGATGTTGTTTCTGTGAGCACTGGTTCTCCTCAGGGATGTATTTTGAGTCCTTTGCTTTTTACTTTGTACACTCACGATTGTGTGTCCTCCTCTGACTCAAACTTGATCATCAAATATGCTGATGACACCACCATCATCGGTCTCATCAGTGACAATGATGAATCCTCTTATAGAGCAGAGATACAAAATGTGGTTCAGTGGAGTAAAACTAACAACCTCCAGTTGAATGCATCCAAAACATGTGAACTGGTCTACAACTTCAGTCGTAATAGTTCTCATTTGCCTGTCGTAATCGACAACTCCCAGGTGCAGATCGTAGAGGAGTGCAAGTTTCTGGGTTTAACTCTGTCTAACGACCTGAAATGGGTTAAAAACACTGACCGAGTCGTTAAGAAAGCTCGTCAGCGTCTCTACTTTCTGCGTAAACTTAGAGAATTTACCACTAACTCTAAGATTCTGCTTATTTTATTTATTTATTTATTTATTGATTTATTTGATAGGGACAAGTGTACACAATCAACATGTGAAACACTACAACATTTATAGCCAAGGCTAGTTTGCAATGTCCGTCCCTAGGAGGGTTTTTAACACAATTAAAACACATTATACATTATAAAATTCACATTATACAAAAGCAGATGTTCTCCAACTCATTGATGCTCACACACCTGGTTTGTTTTAAGAAATCGCTTTAGTTCATGTTTAAAACCAGCCCAGTCAGAGTTCAGTTTTAGCTGAGGGCTTAAAGAGTTCCAGAGCTTTGCCCCCTGGACCGAGAAGACCGACTGTCCGAATGTGGTTCTCCTGAGGGGCACTTTCACATTCCCGTTAGAGGAGCCCCGTGTGACGGATCTCAGAGGAACTATGAGAGCACTCAGGACAGCAGGGGCTCGACTGTGCAAACATTTGTACAATAATTTACAATTACAAAATTTAATAAAATTATCAAAACTAAGAAAATGTAGTCTCTGCAACTGCTTAACTTTTATCACTGCACCATTGAGAGTTTACTTGTTGGTTCTGTGTCTGTGTGGTTTGGAAACCCTTCCATCCATCCATCCATCCATTTTCTACCCTTTAATCCATTTCTGGGTCAGGGGGGTGGCAGTCAGAGATGCCACCCAAGTCTCACAGCACCAGCCCCTCACTGACCCTCTGCAGGTGGTGAGTCCACAGGAGGACGGCTGCTCTCTGAGTGTGAGCATAGCCTTGATCTTTCAGTGGGGGCTTTGGTTGGTTTGGAAACATCACAGATAAAGAAAAGAGAGCTTTAAACAAGGTGCTCCGCTCTGCAAAGAGGACCGTGGGCTGTGAGCTTCTTGTTCTGGAGGTTCTTTATAAATCCAGACTTTTAAACAAAGCTCTTAGGATTGTCAATGACTCTTCTGGCCACCCTGGGAAAGCCATGTTCCAGCTTCTTCCCTCTGGCAGAAGATATCGCTCTCTGAGATGCAGGACATCTCGTTACGCTAAAGGCGCGTTCAGACCAAAAGCTTCAAAAAGCTTTTGACGCGCTTCAACTGACGCCGGGATAGTTTTGTCATTTTGGTGCTTGAAGCTTTTGACGCGAGTGACGCGCCTGACGCCGGTGGGAGGAGCTTCTCTGTTGTCTGTAGTCAGGACAGCGGTTGATTTTTCAATGAGCAGCGAGCCTTTATTTGTTATATAAAGCAAAATAACGTTGTTGTAGGGCTTCAACAAAACATGTTCTGGGTTCACCACAGACTTGAGAGGCTGCAGTGTTTGCAGAGTTCCGTCATTTACTCCAGGAGCTGCGTACGGAGGAGTTTCGCTTTCAGCGGTACTTCCGCATGTCACTCGGCCAGTCTGAGTTCTCAAACCCCGGAGCTCGCCTCTCCCCGGCTCTCCCCGGCTCTCGCTCGCCTCTCCCTGCCTCTCCCCGGCTCTCACTCGCCTCTCCCCGCCTCTCTCTCGCCTCTCCCCTGCCTCTCCCTGCCTCTCCCTGCCTCTCCCTGCCTCTCTCTCGCCTCTCCCCTGCCTCTCCCCGGCTCTCGCCCGCCTGGAGCTGCCTTGCTCTGAGCCAGACTCATCGTCAGCCTGTTCTTATTTTAAATAAACTACGTTTACTACACAGCATGTGTACAATGATTTTGTTACTCAGAATGTTACTACTCATACAAATAATATTACTAATAACAATAATGACAATAAAACACCAGCAGCAGATACATGACTTCTCTTCATGACAGAGACAGACCCTCTGCTGCTGCTGCTCCTCGTCTCCTGATTGGTTGAAGCCCGCGTCAAAGCTTCAAAAGCTCAGCTTTGCTCAGCTTCGGCGTCAAAGGGATTGTTTTGATACGCGAGCGTTTCGCGCGTCAAAAGCTTCAAGTGAGCGCGTAGTACGCGCGACTCTTGAAGCTTTTGACGCGCGTCAAGTGACGCCGGGGCTCTCGGCTTCACCTGACGCGCTTCACCATTCACTTTCAATGGAAACCTGACGCTTTTGACGCCGAAGTTAAGTCCGGTGTGAACGCCCCTTAACAGTTTTAATCCACAAGCTGTTATCAGTTTGAACAGAGCACTTTAATGATTTGTACTTGTTTTGAACTGTTTTAGTCGATCGATTTCACAGTGACTTTTGTTTACTGTTTTATTTGTTTTATTTCTGTCTTTTAATGTTGTTTTATGTCTGTATTTGTCTGTGCACACTGGAGACTTTTCGCTAATGTATTCCAATGTGGTTTTTTTTACTGCAAATGGCAAATAAACTGAATCTGAATCTGAATCTGAATGTAATTCCAGAGAGTTCTTGTTGAGGTCCCTGGCCACCACATGTTGAGAACACAATGGAAAACCTTTGGGAACAATTTTTTTTGCAGTCATTAAATACACTTTTTGGCATTCATAAAAGTGGACTGAAGTTTATTTTGTGTGTTTCCATATAATGAGCGAGAAAATGTATAGAACGCAAGTCATCATCGGAAAATAAGTACCTCCAGGTTCGCCCTGTGGGTGCTTATTTTCCGATAATGACATGCGTTCTATACACTCTCATCCCTCACTTTATCTATCATTGTTTGCACTGTAAAACAAAACAAGCTAACTGTGAAACCAATCATCAAAAACAGCTTCAATACAAGATCTTTAAAGGTCTTTGCTCAGATTGAATACACAAAGTACCACTATTATTGTTTATTTTTATTTTCATTCAAACAGCAGTTTCAATTATCCTGAGTGAAGTCGATTCTTTTTTTAGTAACTGCGAAGTGTGCGATCATCATGATGTATGTGTTTTTGGTTCTGACTGCCCATTGAAGTGAATGAGGACTTGCTTCGACATCTGCTCTTCTTTTGTGGTTGGTCTTTTGTGTCGACAGATTCTGAAAAATGGTTCAGACCTCCAGCTTTAGGAATGTCCCACACACTCAGACATACACACACAGACACAGACACACACACACTCCTCCACATCCGTCAGGTGTGAGTGCAGAGAGCTGACAGATTTGTCTTAACTACACTTTAAAATAGAAGACGAAGCCAATCCACTCTCAGCCCAAATCTTCAAATAGTGACTCACAGGGCTCTTTCTCACGAGGATGCACATCTCTAATCTCTCATTTCCAGTGTTGGGCACGTTACTTTGAAAAAGTAATTAGTTATAGTTACTAGTTACTTCTCCCAAAAAGTAACTGAGTTACTAACGGAGTTACTCCACTATAAAAGTAACTAGTTACCAGTAAAAGTAACTATTGCGTTACTTTTTCGTTTTGTTCTGGAACATAATGTGCACTCGACGTGTGCATTTTTACCTTTAACCTCAGTGAGTCTGAAATAGTGCCAATATTTCCATCTAGAAAAGGCTGTTTTGCTGCTGAAGTCCTGTTCACTCTTCATCTCTCTCTGTGCTGTAAGCACTAAACACCAACACCCACCACTGTGAATGTGGAAACACCGGTGAAGCACTGACTTCAGCCCAATCAGATGAACATATACATCATATAAATCAACTGGACAATTTGTTTGGCTACAGCAGAATATGTTTCATGCCTGCATTGTTGGTTCATACAAAACGCAAAACTATGAGTTATGGGTCTTACCTTATAAATGACCTGCACAGGCCACTACGGTTCAGACCAGTTCCTTGTTTAAATCCAGTTAATGGTTTGAGCGCAGATATGTAATCCTCCATTTGGAAATGAGTCCAATGAGTTTTAAAAAGTAAAACAAAACGCGTGTGTCCTCCATAAACTCCTGTTTTGCTGCAGCCGGGTGCATCCAATTTCTAAAATCATTCGTCTTACACTTCACCTCTCTTCCTTATCATTCCTATAGTCATTGAAAAATTACCCTAAGTGCATTTTAAATTATCTTAAAATGTGTTATATGTATGTTAGCCAAACCTGTTGCTGTCCTTAGCAGATAAACCAGGAAGAGAAAGGAGCTTATCGATTAAATTGTATGCAGCCGACTTCTGCGCTCACATGCGCTACTCTGTGGCTGACCTCACGGTGATACAAGCCGTGGTTGAGCGCGATAAAGACCCATATTTGTTTCAAAAACACAATTTATGAGTCATTGTCTCAACTGTAGACATGTAGATTGTAAAGGAAATATGTTTTACATCAGCCAATAATTGCTGAGAGGTTTTCTCATCCTCCCTTCTCTCATGACAACACACGCACGAGTCCTATCACAAAGTAAAAAGAGAAGTTCATTGTGCGTCTTGAGTAACGCGCAGTAACGGTGTGTCGGAAATGATAACGCCGTTATAGTTACTGTCAAAGTAATTAGTTAGATTACTCGTTACTGAAAAAAGTAACGCTGTTATTCCCATCACTGCTCATTTCTAACAAGATGACGATAAAAGCATGTAGTGGTCTTATTTATTCACATTTTAGTTTTAGACTTGGTGACGACAAACAGCATGCATTACATATATTATTAACATTATATACTGTAGTGGCAATCAAGAAACAGTGTCAATAGTAGTGCAGGTTTTTCAGTCCTAATGCAAGTGACTTAAAGTGACTTCATTTTAGGTTCCCCTGCTTTAAATGTTGAGCCATAGATCTGAAAATAATCTCAGAATATCATTTTTTTTCCAATATTAGTGTATTATTGGTCAGCAAACAAAGAAGAGTGAGTGCGTGGGGGATAAAATAAATATACAGGGTAAATGTCAGGTGCTCTTCGAGGATCTGTAGAAAAATAGTGTAAAAAATAAAGAGGAGAAGATTTAACTTAAAAATACTTTATTGTAGAGGGGACAGAGCGACGCGTTTCGACTGGCCTCGATGAAGTCCAGAGAGGGGTCAAAAGGTGTCGCTACGTTCCTTCCACAATAAAGATTTTTTAAGTTCAGTCAGAGCCTCAGACCTTTTTCTCGTTGTCTTCTTCAACGTTTATGGTCTAAATGCCTGAGAACTGGTCCAAATGCCCGGTGTGTGGTGGTTTTACAGATTACAGGCCTGGTGGCTCCTGAACAAAAGCCGCTGCAGTTTCCTGGAACCTCTTTTGAAGCTGATTGTAGCTTTGTGTGCGAGCGGTTGTGATGTCGCAGGCACTTAACCTCTGACCCCCGACCTCTGACCTCTACAGCTGCTGCTGCTGCTGCTGCTGCTGCTGCTGCTGAGGCTCGGTCTGCGTCTGTGGTTGAACTGCAGTGATGTCATCTAAACCAGTCTAAACTTGTTCCAAACACACAGACACATGGAGAGAGGGACGTCGAGGAAACTCATCCCAACAAACACTAATAACTGATATTTGCTGATATTAATATATATAAAAAAGATTCTGGTTTAGAAGTTGCAACTTTCTGTTACACTTTAGTTTATCTCTCACTAATTAACAGAAAAATAAGTGCTAAATAGTATATAATTTATGGTTAATTAGCTCTTAATTGGTGTTTATTAAGCACTTATTAGTCCTTATTCTGCATTGCTTTTCACTATACTTGCAGGTGAAGGCCAGATCCTGTCAGACCTCTAATGCTAAGCAGGGTAGGGTCTGCTTAGTACTGTGATGGGAGACCTCTGGTAACACCAGGTGCCACAGTGGGGCGGCTGTGGCTGTAAAGTGCCAAACTGTGGTTGTGTCCTGAGGCAAGACACTTCACCCACATTAAAATGAGCCTACTATCTGACACTATACCAATTGGGTTAGGGTTAGGGAACACTTAAAAACCACTTTATTAGCTGTAAATTAGTGAGGGCTAAACTAAAGTGTTCCCTACATTTTTCTAGTTCTATGCAGCTGATATGTTCTGGTCCTCTGTCTGAAAAAAAACTGGTGATGGAAGCGAACTGTCATGAGAGCGAGGAACTAGTTTATTGCAGTTACATTTGTGTGGTTCGAAAGTTAGGTACCCCAGCTTTAAGTTTACAATAATGTGATTTTGTGTACTTCCAGGTCAAACACGGGCACTCGAAGCTGGTGTGGTGCTGTTTAGTCGGAAAAGTCCTCTGCTACTATCGAAACAAAGAAGATAAGGTTTGTACCAAGATGTGTTTTTAATCTTTAAAAGCTTTTAATCATGTTACCCTCATCAAAAGGTACAGCTCTCTGGTCTCTCTCTGGTTTCTATCTGGTCTCTCTACTAGTCCCTTCTTTGTCTCTCTTTGGTCCCTCTCTGGCCTCTTTCTGGCCTCTCTCTGGTCTCTCTGGTCTCTCTCTGGTCTCTCTGGTCTCTCTCTGGTCTCTCTGGTCTCTCTCTGGTCTCTCTCTGGTTTCTCTGGTCTCTCTCCCTTTTTGGTCTCTCTCTGGTCTCTTTATTTATTCTCTCTCCGGTCTCTCTCTGGTCTCTCTCTAGTCTCTCTGGTCTCTCTCTGGTCTCTCTCTGGTCTCTATCTCTGGTCTCTATCTCTGGTCTCTCTCTGCCCTCTCTCTGTCCTCTCTCTGGTCTCTCTCTCTGGTCTGTCTCTGGTCTCTCACATGTCTCTGTGTTGTCCCAGCTCCCTCTGGGTCAGTTGAGGCTCAGAGATGCCTCGGTCCTGGAGGTGGATCGTTCCTGTGACTCTGATGAAGACTACGAAGCCGGAGGTCGAGGCTTCATCTCCTCTCACTTCACTCTGGTGGTCCAGCCCCCAGACCAGAGCCCCACCTACCTCCTCATCGGGACCAAGCAGGAGAAAGTAAGAACACATTTCAGATTCAAGTCGAACCTTCAATACAAAGTGGATTTGCTACGTTTAAATGTTTCAAAGGACCTTTATCTGAGTATTGCTGTCTCAAGATACTCATATAGTGAGAAGAAAAACAGAAAAAACCTTTGGGAGACCTACAGTGTAATGAGAGAGGGATCCACTACTACATACAAACAGGCTGTAGACCCAGGACTGAGGGCTGTAGATCCAGGACTGAGGCTGTAGATCCAGGACTGAGGCTGTAGATCCAGGACTGAGGCTGTAGGCCCAGGACTGAGGCTGTAGATCCAGGACTGAGGCTGTAGATCCAGGACTGAGGCTGTAGATCCAGGACTGAGGGCTGTAGACCCAGGACTGAGGCTGTAGATCCAGGACTGAGGCTATAGATCCAGGACTGAAGAGGTTGGGGTTCAGGGGTCAATGTTGAGCTTTTAGACAAGTTTAAATTTGTTGGTACTGGAGCCCTACATTGTTTAATGTTTCTTTTTAGTTTGGAATCTTTGACAAAATGGATTTATCCTCATGGAAACTGTCCCTGTGCTCAGGACACGTGGTTGTACCATCTAGGGGTCGCAGCGGGCGGCAGTGCAGACCTCAGAGTCGGGACGGAGTACGAACAGCTGATCGGGAAACTGCTGGACGTGGACGGAGATCCAGGTTTGGACCAGACTCTCAAAGAATTTATGAATCCGGAAAACAGAGACATCGGGAGACTCATATGGAGACATTAAAATCAATATAAAAAACCTGGTCATACCTGCATGTGAAAGCCAGATCCCGTCAGACCTCTTTCCGTGTGCCCCAGGGCAGCTGTGGCTACAGTAGTAGTTTATCACCACCATGTAGACAAATAAATACATAGAGATAGATGGTGGTGAAGTAGCCGCTTGGTTTGGACCATTTTTTCTGCTCTGGTCCAGAGTCAGATGCTGAATGTTTTATTAGCATTATTCAAAGAAGTAGCATTCCTTCGGTGGATTTCCTCTTGATCTGTTTGGTTCGGACCATGAATCCTCTCTGCTCTGGTCTGGATCAGAATAAAACTATTAACACTGTGCTGCGGTAACATTTACAAGTAGAAAAAAAGAGAGAAAAATACCAATCGTAAAACTCAAAACAAAAACTTTATCAGAGCTACTTTGGATTTTCTGCCGTTTCCGGTGCATTCTAAAGTAAACTGTATGGAGTGAAAGAATAATGACATGTGAAGTGTCCTTGATGATGCAAAAAGTTCTGTATAAAACTAGTGCATTATGTAAAACCCAACTCTATAAATGATTGTCCCTGTATCTTCTCTCTGTGAGCTGCTAGAGTAAATAATGTATAATTAGCGTCTGTGGCATTAGCGCAGCAGCTAACGCCACACTAGCCGCGGCATGTAAATAAACAGAGCTTTTCCTAGTTGCACGTAGCGTGTTATTTTGATCCGCGTCTGGGAGCGCTAATCCTCCGTGCAGACTCTGTTTATGGCTCTTTGAAACTGGATCTGGGAGTTTGTCTCGTGATGCATGTGTTCGTCTTGAGGTTTATTTCTGTCGTGTCTGTCTTCCCAGAATCATCTCTGTGGAGAAACCAGGCGCTCAGCTTCTGCAAAGACGGACTGCGATCTCCTTTGACCACGCTGCCGTCCGAGGCGCTCCAGACCGAGGCCATAAAACTATTCAAGGTCAGATTTATATTAATAAACTATTATGTTCTGAGTCAGACATAACAAACTCAGGCTTGCAAGACCATTGTTAGTGTCCCTCAAAAATATTTTCTATCATTATCATTATTAAAATAGAAAACCATGGCATGTTATACATCATCGATTTTCTTCAGGAAACAACCAAATGTAATGTATTCTATATTTTATCCTGCTGCTTTTAAGTGACTCATAGGAGCACAAAAGTAACATTACGCAGCATCCCGTGATGTTTGTTCATCAAACTTGAATTTCTCCATTGTGAGATCAATAAACTTTACCGCATCATAGTAGAGATTAAATATTCAAATATAAAACATTGCGTTTAACTTTAGATCTGGTCCAGTTTTGGTTCAATCAATTCTTCAGCCCCTAACCAAAATTAATTTGACACCCCTGGTCTAAATAATGTAAAAACACTAAAAAGGCTCACACAAAATAGAGATAATATAAAATGATAATATGTGGGACGACAGTGGATCAGTTGGTAGGGCGTTGGCCTTTGAGCCAGAAGGTTGTGGGCACGATCCCACCAGGAGACCTTCTGCACGACTCCTACTGATGACTGCTGTCGTTGTGTTCTTGGGAACTACGCTTAATCCCACTTTGCCTGAAACCCCCGCTGGAAGACCAAGGCTATGCTCTCACTGACAGAGCAGCCATTCTCCTGTGGATTCATCCCCAGCAGGAGGATAAGTGAGGGGCTGGGGCTCTGTGAATGCCTCACCCTCTGCCCACTTCCATCTCTCTCTCTCTCTTTCTCTCTCTCCCCCTCTCAGTTGAAAGCCTGCAGCCCGAGCCTCCTCATTAGACGTGTGAATTGGAGAAAATGCTGTTGTCTTTTCTGATTGGGGCTAAACTGGGGTAAAACCTGACCACAACATACATCCTTTAGCTAATGAGAAAACATCGTACAGACCCAGGACTCTGTGTAGTTCACTTGTTTATCAAAATACACCAAATATTCCCTGAAGCAGTATGTAGCGTGTAGTTGTTAAACTGATTCTGAAACGCATTCTCTGCACCTTCTGCTCTATGGCTTAGAATCAGTGAACTGTGACACAGGGATCAGAGAAACTTCTGGAAAATCTATCTATACTGTCTCAGTATACATACAGACCTCTGTCTCAGTATACATTCAGACCTCTGTCTCAGTATACATACAGACCTGTCTCAGTATACATACAGACCTGTCTCAGTATACATACAGACCTGTCTCAGTATATATACAGACCTGTCTCAGTATACATGCAGACCTGTCTCAGTATACATACAGACCTCTGTCTCAGTATACATACAGACCTCTGTCTCAGTATACATTCAGACCTCTGTCTCAGTATACATACAGACCTGTCTCAGTATACATACAGACCTCTGTCTCAGTATACATACAGACCTGTCTCAGTATACATGCAGACCTGTCTCAGTATACATACAGACCTCTGTCTCAGTATACATACAGACCTGTCTCAGTATACATACAGACCTCTGTCTCAGTATACATACAGACCTCTGTCTCAGTATACATTCAGACCTCTGTCTCAGTATACATACAGACCTCTGTCTCAGTATACATACAGACCTCTGTCTCAGTATACATACAGACATCTGTCTCAGTATACATTCAGACCTCTGTCTCAGTATACATACAGACCTCTGTCTCAGTATACATACAGACATCTGTCTCAGTATACATTCAGACCTCTGTCTCAGTATACATACAGACCTCTGTCTCAGTATACATACAGACCTGTCTCAGTATATATACAGATCTCTGTCTCAGTATATATACAGACCTGTCTCAGTATACATGCAGACCTGTCTCAGTATACATTCAGACCTCTGTCTCAGTATATATACAGACCTGTCTCAGTATACATACAGACCTGTCTCAGTAAATACACTCTCTCATTATACATACAGTTTAGTGGTAGTGGTAACAAGTGATTTCTTTCCCCATATTTCTGTAATTGAATTTGTTAGTGGCTAAACCCCCTATAACTCAGCAAGTTTTAAGTTGGCCCGTACTTTGCTGCCCTCTGCTGTCACTTTACTGACATAACAACTCTTAACCCTCTCTATCCCCCCTCTCCCCCCTCAGTCCTGTCAGCTCTTCATAAACGTGCTGGTGGAGGCGCCCTCGGTGGACTACCACACATCACTGGCCCAGAATGCATTGCAGGTGTGTGTGAGCCACCCAGAGCTACACAACGAGATCTACTGTCAGCTGATTAAACAGACCAACGAGAGAGCGACACACAACTACGCTCTCACACAGGTACAACTCACCAAAAAGGCGACACACAACAACACCCTGACACAGGCAATGCATTGGTTTTATATTGTAAAGTTTATTTGTATAACACAGTACATAGGCATTAAAATGATGTAAATAATCACAGTTCATTAAAAAGACTAAAGATACAGTCCCTGAGTTGTTGCAGCTTAACAGAATTGTTTTTAACCTTCAAACAAGGTCAGAAATCTAGGGGTAATACTGGACTCAGACTTAAATTTTAATAGCCACATCAAATCAGTAACATCAGCAGCTTTTTACCATCTAAAAAACATTTCCAGGATCAAAAACATAGTGTCTAAAGCAGACTTGGAGATTCTTATCCATGCATTTGTCTCCAGTAGGTTAGACTACTGCAATGGCCTGCTCACAGGTCTGTCCAAACAGGCTGTAAAACAGCTGCAGTACATTCAAAATGCAGCAGCTCGAGTCCTGACTAGAACCAGGAAGTACGACCACATTAGTCCAGTCCTCAGGTCTCTGCACTGGCTTCCTGTGGCTCAGAGAATAGACTTTAAAACAGCTTTGCTTGTGTACAAATCTCTCCATGGCCTCGCACCAAAATATATTAGTGACATGTTAGTCCCATATGAACCAGCCCGGACTCTGAGGAGCACAGGGACTGGACTCCTGTTAGTGCCCAGAGTCAGAACTAAACATGGGGAGGCTGCTTTTCAGATTCATGCTGCTAAAATCTGGAACATTCTTCCTGAAGATGTGAGACAGGCCTCCTCTCTGACAATGTTTAAAACCAGGTTAAAAACGGTGCTGTTTAGCTGTGCATACAACTGAGGGATTTTATATTTTTATCTTTATTTTTAATGTTCTGTGATTATTTATGATTTTAATGCTATCTTGTTCAGCACTTTGAGTTGCCTTGTGTATGAAGTGCTATACAAATAAACTTGCCTTGCCTTGCCTTGCCTTGGATTTGAACATTGTCAGAGAAGAAGCCTGTCTCATGTTTTAGGGAAGACTTTCATCGCATAATCCCTATTGTGTGTGTGTGTCCAGTGTTGGCAGCTGCTGTCTCTGTGTGTCGCTCTCTTCCTGCCACAGCATCACTTCCTGTGGTATCTGCGACAGTATCTCCAACGCCACGCAGACCCACGGTGAGATCACAATCTCAAAACAAAACTGAGGAAACTTTACTTAAAGCTGGTGTACCTAACTTTAACACCGACACTTTTTCAATAACAGCAAAGACTGATGAAAAAAACATGAAATACAGAAAAACAGTTAGTAAATAGGCTACCAAATGCTGACTTCTGCAAGTAAACTGTGTGTTTCTATGGTAACAACTAGTTACAAGTAAAGATATAATTTTGAAATTCTTACGTTTTTCTTTTTTTCTGGTCCCGACAGGAGCGAGGTGGGGAAGTATGCGGTGTTCTGCCAGCGCTCGGTGGAGAGGACTCTGCAGAACGGAGAGAGAGAAGCCAGACCCTCACGGATGGAGATTGTGTCCATTCTCCTGAGAAACCCGTACCACCACTCTCTCCCCTTCAGCCTCCCAGTGCACCTCACCAACAACACCTACCAGGTCAGGGGTCTACTTCCACATAAGATCTCTTGGTAACACTTTCGATTTGTTGGTAACACCTTAAATTAGATCTTTTGTTCCTATTCTAAGACTAACACAGATCTGACTGTGCGGCACTATTGTTAGTTACTTTTTGAAAAACGTTTAGAATGACATACTTCTGTGTTTGTATGGATGGATGCTTTTCGGGTGCTCGACGCATTTTTTCTATGGTTATCAACAAATCTATTGTATCTCTCTATCTAGATCAGCCATCAGTAACAGCTAATTGAGTGCTAATTAAGAGGGCGCCTGGCATGGTCGCCTCGGGTCGTCAGTGCTCTCCCCTTTTCTTATGAGCCAAAGAATTTTCCTAGTCTGTGACTTCCTGTTACATACATGGCGATAAAAAGGATTCTGATTCTGATTCTTCTAACTCCAACCCTCATGGGAAAGTGTCTGTTTGTAGTTAGTAAGATGTTGAATAAGGCCAGTGCCGGCGTGGCTAATCGGGAGAGCCGGGAGGTTTCCCGGTGGGCCGGTTGGGCTAAGGGCCGGTGGGCTGGATGTTGTATGTTGCTGGTTGGACTTGGCCGGCGGCCGTGCTTTCCTGACACCGCTGTTCACCGCAGCCTTCTCGGACCTGTCACTCGCCCGTGCGCACTGCCTCTCTCTCTCTCTCTCTCTCTCTCTCTCTCTCACCCACACACACACACACGAGTAAACAGCACACACACTTCTGGCTAGTCTCATTTGGCCGCTTTCATTGGTTACGATGTGTTCTGCAACGGCCTGATTGGTTGTCTGTAGATTGTAGGCGGGACTAAACGAGAGCGCGGGCCATAGATCAGGTTGAACGACAGATAGAACTGAAGCAAGCGCCGTTTCTCACAGACATCTGTCCAACACGAGTGTTTTTAAAATGGAAAGGAACAAAATCAAGGGCGGAGCAGAAAAGATTAGAATAAAAAAAGGAAGCTGAAGCAGCCAAATTTGCAAAGTTGGTAGTTTTTTTCTAGAAAAAGTGCTCAGTCGATGAAGAGGCATCAGACCGCGGTAAGCTAGCAAAAAAACATGCAAAACACTGTGGCAAAACATGACGACGTGATTCTCTAAATGATTAGCACTCCGTCAATTACATTTATTGCTTCTTAGGTCCTCAGATACAACAATCGTTCATTCATATTAATGAAGAGTCTCAGGGATGGGCAAGTAAAAACCAAAAAGAAGATTGTATTTTTAATCAAATTTGACTAAGCCACTAAGGCCATGAATTTATTTATTTCATAATGTATAATGTATATTACATAAATTAAATGTTTAACTTCTTTGTACATTAGGAAAGTAACAGTTGAATATTTTGTGTGTGTGTCAAAAGATGTGAAGCATTTATGCTCATATCTACAGAAAATACATCCTTTGTCATTGGATAATAACAATTATCATAAACAAAGTAGCATAAACAAGTGCACTTCTACAGAGTTTACTCATGTTTTAATGTGCTTCATTTTGCTATTGTTAATTTGGGTTTGTTTGATTTAAATAGTGTGCCCCTGGGACAACATTAAAATGCGTTAAGATTAATTTTGGTTTTGTTTAAAGTTGTAGCAAGCACTGTTTTGTCTTTGTGAAGCATTTGCATTAGTCTTTGTTTTTGTATAGTCTTGAAAGGAGGATAATAGTTTAATGGTTTCAAGTCAATTCAATCTATATAAAAATATAGCCAAATCTTTGGGAATAACAATTATTTGAATGAAAATTGACATTGTTCTAAATTTTGTGAAATTCATGCTTTTTATATCCACATAAGTCTAGAGTCAGTCTAAAATTTGCTACAATTCATATTGTGATACCAGAATATTCAAATATCATAATTTATTCAAATGCATTATTGAGTTATTTTGTGACAAACACTGAGAAGTCTAAAAGGGGTGAACAAAGAATAATTTGATTAATACTAGTCTGGTAATTTACAAAACTTGATTTTAGGCCATCTGCTGGTTGTTATGGATATTACAACAGCAGGCAGTTTTTTTTGATAGACTACTTTATCAGAAGGGCGGTCTGACCCAGAATTCCCGGGCCAAAAAATTGTCCCACTCCGGCCCTGAATAAGGCCATATAGAATAAGGACTGAAAAGATGTGTATCTGTATAGATCTGTATAATAAGACAGTGGTGTGTCTCTGCTGCAGGTGGTGGGGTTCGATGGTTCTACCACAGTGGAGGAGTTCCTGAACACTTTGAACCAGAGGATCGTCATGAGGAAGCCCCAGCTCTCCGGCTTCAGTCTGTTCACAGATGATCCATCAGGGAAAGACCTGGAGCACTGTCTGCAGCCCTCAGACAAGGTACAAACTAATACTCACTGTCTGTACACGGCAAATATGATACAAATACATGCTTGTGTCTGTCTTAAAACAAGATTTGCCAATGGGATAATGCCATTTAGACTTGAGAACTCAAGAACTGAGAGTGACCATAGAGTGACCATAGAGTGATCATACAGTGACCAGAGAGAGACCAGAGAGAGACCAGAGAGAGACCAGAGAGAGACCAGAGAGTAACCAGAGAGTGACCAGAGACCAGAGAGAGACCAGAGAGAGACCAGAGCGAGACCAGAGCGAGACCAGAGCGAGACCAGAGCGAGACCAGAGAGAGACCAGAGAGAGACCAGAGAGAGACCAGAGAGAGACCAGAGAGAGACCAGAGGGAGACCAGAGGGAGACCAGAGGGAGACCAGAGAGAGACCAGAGAGAGACCAGAGAGAGACCAGAGAGAGACCAGAGAGAGACCAGAGAGAGACCAGAGAGAGACCAGAGAGAGACCAGAGATACGAGAGAGATTGTCCAATGAGACACAGACATTTAGTCTTATTTCAAGAACTGTTGCTTTATTTTCACATTCCAAGGGAGACATTTTTGTATCATTTTAAAACAAGATCATTTTACTTTGTCCCATTGGCAAAACTGGTTTTAAGGCTGTCAGAATGTGCTCAAGTTAAGACATATTTTACCAAATTTGAGCAATTGTTGACTTATTTTTTCATCTTTTTTTGCAGTGAACAAACCTGGTTGTGTCTTTTCTCCCAAAAAATAAATAATTAATGTGTGCTGTCTTGTAGATCTGTGATGTCATTTCTAAATGGGAGCAGGCTTTAAAGGAGCTGCATCCAGGGAAGAACGAAGGAACTCGCATCGTCCGCCTGACCTACAAGAACAGGTGACATCACAGACCGGCATCGAGCCTCGAACTAAATCAGACTATAGAAATAATGTAAAATCCTATTTTTACGATCCATTGTTTTGTGAGCCCTGGCTAGTACTCCAGCTAACCCAACAAAAAAAAAACAACTGACCCTGGAATCAAGGAAATAGATTTATAAATGAAATTGAAAAAAGTAAATTTGCAGATAAAGAGAGGTTTTAGATTCCATTTTAACAAAATTTCTGTGGATTTTCTCTTTCTTTAATTTTTTTTTAAACTTTTCCTTGTAAGTTGATTGGAACCAGAGGGACTTGTCCATTAGCACTATTGGGCTTCATTGGGCTAGCAGGTTAGCATTGTCCAACTATATACAGTATATGGTCCCAGCCGACCAGGTGAGAACCACTGTTATAGATTACACATGCTTTAAACTGGGATCCCAAATATTGTCTCTGTACTCTTGGTGAGAAGTGACTTGTCTGTCAAGTCACTTGTATCATTTTAGTATAGTTAGAGTTAGAGTTATTGTTCATTTATCTTGTGCTGTGTGCTCCTCACTCCTACTGGTCTGTAACTGGTGATGCAACACTGAAATTCCCCCACTGTATGACCAATAAAGGATTTCTTCATCTTCATCTTAATATTTATCAGAAGTTTGTGTAAGCTCTCAGTCGTACAGGGATTAGTCAAAGCAAAGGAAGGTTTCTCACCCATCATCTGTACTTCTTAGCAAGTTTTCCCGACGTTTCGTCCTCAACCTAGCGGACTTCTTCAGGGAATGAATTCTCGGACCGCGCGTTGGAGATTTATAACCTATGGGTGTGGTTAGCCACACCCTAATCCTGATACTAACTCGTAAACAATCTACGGTCTGCTTGATGTAGAAGGGAGCAGGTCTAACGACCCTGCTGGAGGCTAACGACCCTAACTCCTTAGCATGTCACAGACCTATTGTCTGCTGGGATGCTCAAGTGGAGTGCAGGTCTCACCCCTCCTAACTCATTAGCATGTCACTGACCTTGTCCCAAGTTAGGGCGTTGTTTTTAGGATGTCGTCATAGATGCGAGGCAAAACAAATCTTAACCCTCCTCCTCTGTTAAGAGAAGGTTTTTGTTTCCTCACAAAAATGGCTTCTTTCACTCCTCTCTCAAACCAATTCTTCTCCCGAGCCAGAATTTTAACCTCTGTGTCATCCACCGTGTGGTTGGAGGCCTTGAGGTGGAGATGAACAGCCGACTGTGGCCCACTAGAGTTTTCTCTACGATGTTGGTAAAGTCGTTTCTGTAGAGTTTGTTTGGTTTCTCCAATATAGTGGTCAGTGCACTCCTCTTCACTACATTTAATTGAATACACCACATTGCTCTGTTTGTGTCTGGGTGTTTTGTCTTTGGGATGCACTAATTTCTGTCTTAACGTGTTGAAAGGTTTGAAATACACAGGGATTTTGTGTTGCCTAAAGATTCTTTGTAGTTTCTCTGAAACTCCCGCCACATACGGTAAGGACACGCCTCTCCTCCTACTTTCTTCTGTCTGTTGGACTGTGTCTCTGGCCTTTCTCGTCCTTTGGGCTTTAGTAAAAGACCACTTGGGGTAGCCACATCTGGAAAGTGCTCTCTGAACATGTTTGGTTTCTCTGTTCTTTCCCTCCGAGCTAGTGGGGACCTGGTGGGCTCGGTGTTGAAGCGTTCTAATGACCCCGAGTTTGTGTTGTAGCGGATGATTTGAATCAAAGGCCAGGTACTGGTCAGTGTGAGTGGACTTTCTGAAGACCTCAGTCTCTAATTGTCCGTTCTCCAGTATGATGACCTTACAATCTAGAAAGGCGAGTTCACTCTCCTTAGCATCCTCGCGAGTGAAATTTATAAAAGGGTCCACCGAGTTAATGTGTGCTGAAAATGGTTCCACTTCCTGTTTCTTTAACTTAACCCATGTATCGTCTACATCAGTGTTTTTCAACCACTGTGCCGCGGCACACTAGTGTGCCGTATGATATTGTCTGGTGTGCCGTGAGAAATTCGTCTACTTTGTCTAAAAATAGCTGCATTCGCTGTTGACGAGCAGTGACTTGTTTTGAACTGTGGAGTAACCATGTAATACTTTTTCAAATCAGTAGATGGCAGCAGATAGCTAAGTACTTTGAAACTGAAAAATTGGATGCGACCACTGGCTGTAACAGATCAGCATTGTGGCGAGAAAGGTAAAATTGGATGCGACCAACAAATGTGGGAGGGAGCGAGACAAGAGCTTTGTGGCGAGTGAGAAGTGAAAGTGATAGAGACGTTTTTGAAAATGAATTATGCCGTTTCTGAACAGGATTAACATCCTCCGCTCTGCCCCGGGGCAGCTGTGGCCGCGTTGTAGTGGTTTAACTATGAAATGTACAATTTTTGTACAACAGCTCTCGCGAACGCACTTCTGAACTGGGTACCGAGCGCAGACCGTAGTCGAGTGGACAGAACCACAGACATGCGGACCGGACAGAACCATGGACTCGCGTTCAGGACCTCCCGTGTCCCTCATCCAAAACTCCTGAATTTAAAGCTCGGATACCTAAATTTTTCCCATGCACTAACAATGCATGTTCTTTGTGTGAGTTATTATTTGACTATTTGGGCAGAGAGTGGATTTTCTTAGTTTTTTTCCACACAGTTAGTGCCACTTTATTCCCAAACTCTTGTTAATTGTATCGAGAAATATTAAATAAAGCTTAATATCAAGGCCTGGACTTAAGCATTTTGATGAGAATAACTGTATATTGTGAATATAGGCTACAGAGTATACTGTATACATTATAAGATAAGATAAGATATACTTTATATATCACACAGAGTATGTACAGTATATATTTTTACATTAGTACTGTATAAATTTTTACGTTTTCTCCTGGAGGTGTGCCGCAAGATTTTTTCAGTGAAAAAAGTGTGCCTTGGCTCAAAAAAGGTTGAAAAACACTGGTCTACATATCAAAACCAATGGCTTGGCGCTGTCCCTTGGTAAGAGCCCAGGGCTTGTTCCTCCAGTTTCTCCATATACAGATTGGCCACTATAGGAGAGACTGGGGAGCCCATCGCACAGCCATGAATCTGTCTAAAGAAGGTGCCTCTAAATTGGAAATACGTGGTGTTAAGACACATTTCAAGTATTTCACAGATGTGGTCAGCTGTTAGTTTCGTTCTCTCCCCTAGTGTGGCGTCTTTCTGTAGGCTTTCTCTTACAGCCTCCACCGCCTCTGTAATAGGGACCGACGTAAAAAGCGATGTCACATCAAACGAGACCATTGTCTCATCTGTGTCAAACTGGAGGTGTTTGATTTTATTTACAAATTCTTTTGTGTTTTCTATGTGATGGTGGGTGTTACCCACCAAAGGAGCCAGAATGGTTTTGAGGTGTTTAGCCAGGTTGTAGGTGATAGAGTCTATGCTACATACAATAGGCCGAAGTGGAAAGTTTTGTTTGTGTATTTTTGGGAGTCCATAAATACTGGGGATGGTGTCTCCTGGGTAAAGTTTGTAATATAGTGGTTTTTCAATAATGCCCTCTTTCACTAAGCTCTGAAGGAAGTCTATAATCTTAAAATTCTGGCTCGGGAGAAGAATTGGTTTGAGAGAGGGGTGAAAGAAGCCATTTTTGTGAGGAAACAGAAACCTTCTCTTAACAGAGGAGGAGGGTTAAGATTTGTTTTGCCTCGCATCTATGACGACATCCTAAAAACAACGCCCTAACTTGGGACAAGGTCAGTGACATGCTAATGAGTTAGGAGGGGTGAGACCTGCACTCCACTTGAGCATCCCAGCAGACAATAGGTCTGTGACATGCTAAGGAGTTAGGGTCGTTAGCCTCAGCAGGGTCGTTAGACCTGCTCCCTTCTACATCAAGCAGACCTTAGATTGTTTATGAGTATCAGGATTAGGGTGTGGCTAACCACACCCACAGGTTATAAATCTCCTGATGTCCGAGAATTCATTCCCTGAAGAAGTCCGCTAGGTTGAGGACGAAACGTCGGGAAAACTTGCTAAGAAGTACAGATGATGGGTGAGAAACCTTCCTTTGCATTTATCAGAAGTGATGAGTGTGAATGTGTGTGTTTTTTGCAGGTTGTGTTTCCGCACTCAGGTGAAAGGAGAGACGGAGAGAGAGCGCCTCCTTCTGGCCTATCAAGTGAACGACGAGGTTCAACAAGGACATTTCCCTGTGAACAAAGAATTGGCCATGGAGGTGGCGGCGCTCATGGCTCAGGTCACTGTCACACACTAACAATGCACTCATGGTACAATACATTCAGTTTAATTATAGGGTGATAAGTGCCTTGTGTTTTCATTACAGGGTGATAAGTGCCCTAGTTTTATTTATAGCGTGAGAAGTGTCCAGTGTTTTAACTACAGGGTGAGAAGTGCACTGTGTTTTAACTACAGGGTGACAAGTGACTATTGTTTTAAGTATAGGGTGATAAGTGACCAGTATTAAAACAGAAAGGGAGCGGGGAGGCAGAGCAAAAACATAGAGGAAGTACCCAACATTAACAGTTAAATACAACTTAATGAATATAATGCTCTGTGGGCTGTGCTTGTCTCTGTCACAGGTGGAGTACGGGGATCTGGAGCGCCCCCTGGTGTCTGCCTCTGGTTCTCCACAGCCCAAGTCCCAGGTGATCCTGACACAGGCTCTGGAGAAGTTTTACCCCAAAAGATACAGACAAGACCTCAGCGTGGAGCAGCTCAGGTTAGCATGGTTAAACTCCTGCTGGTGTGTACTGTACCTGTGTATATGGGAGCAATATTGATTTTCTCAAACTGATTTAACATTAATTCGAGAGGTGCCACAGTGGGGCGGCTGCGACTGTAAAGTACTAAACTGTGGTTCTGTCCTTAGGCCAGACACTTTTGAGTCTGGTGTGCGTGTGTGTGAATGATTGGTGGTGGGAGGGGCCAATGGCACATACTGGTGTCAGTGTGCCCCAGGACAGCTGTGGCTACAGTAGTAGTTCACCACTGTGTTTGGAGTGAATGAATGTGACATTATTACAAATTCTCTGTCTGTTATATTGATATTGATATGTACAGATATGTATTGTGCATAAATATTGTAATCTTAAAGAATGAATGTATTTCTTATTTACCAGAGAGCTGTCAGAGCGGTTAGCTTCCAAATGGTCGATGCTCCGCGGCTGCAGTGGTTCAGAGTGTGTTCGCATCTACCTCACGGTCGCTCGCAAATGGCCGCTGTTTGGGGCTAAACTCTTCTCTGCGAAGGTAAAAACATGTGAGGGTTTTTGTCTTGGATGTTCTTTAATTTGTTTTAACTTGTTTTAAATCTCTTTATCTCTGTGTTCAGCCTGTGCCTCCGTCAGCGCTGGAGCAGCCTCAGGTTTGGCTGGCGGTCAATGAAGACGGGCTGTGTGTGTTGGACCTGACCATGGTGAGTGTAGCCTCCAGGGGGCGCTGACAGCATCAGAAACCTGTGTCTGAGTTTTGTAAGTGGACATAAACAACGTGTAATCCGATACAGGAGGGTCTTAGGGTGTAAGGTTGTAGATCCAGGACTGAGACTGTAGATCCAAGACTGAGGCTGTAGATCCAGGACTGAGACGGTAGATCCAGGACTGAGACTGTAGATCCAGGACTGAGGCTGTAGATCCAAGACTGAGACTGTAGATCCAGGACTGAGGCTGTAGAACCAGGACTGAGGCTGTAGAACCAGGACCGGCTGTAGATCCAGAACTCACACAGGAGACTTGAGTGAAACTGGAGAACTCTTCTGCTCTTTTAGACTTTGATGTGTGCGTTTCTACACACATTAAAATCCCTTGAGTTTGACAGCTGGTGTCTCAACAGCGCCCCCTGATGACACACTTGTACCAGAGCGTGATCACGTTCGGAGGCTGCAAAGAGGACTTCATGTTGGTGACGCAGCAGAAGGAGCCTGTGGGAGCCAAGAGGAGTGTGGAGAAGCAGCTCTTCGCTCTGACCAAACCAAAGGTGACCACCAGACCATAGAACATACTCTGTCTTTACATGGTCTTGTTTTGTGTCGCTGGGCAAGATCTAAAGCCACCCCTTGAAATTATTTATAGCACAATTGTCCCATTGTCTCAACTTCTGATGTTTTGCTCAAAATGAAACTAAAAGCCCTGAGTGAAGCACCACTGGGAATGGAAAGTGAAAGAATAATATACACACTGTACGAAGCCTTTTCAGCGTTTTGAATCAATAGTCTTGTTTCTACCAGCCCGACTCTACGGTTCTCTCCTCTCCTCTGTTCTACTTGGCTCTACTCTCTACATTACTCTACACTACTCATGCTTTTACTTTTTTCAGATTTTGGAGCTGACGTTGCTAATGGCAAGTTATGTGAACCACTGGGCCCCGAGTGTCCCCTCAGCCCCCCACCACAGCACCTGCCACTGGGACACAGAGGGCCCCCACTTCCCCTCCATGAACTACACCACCAAGGGCCCCACGCTGCTGTGACCGAGAGACCGACTCATGCCATGTTTCCACCGGCCCTACTCTGTATACTCCCCTCTCCTATAAACTGCAGATAGATACAGAGAAGGTCACAAAGTTAGAAAACACCATAAAGGTCAATAACCCGGGTAATAACACTTTCAGTCAAATTGACTGCTCATGGAGTTTTAGTGTTAAATCAATAATTAGATACGTTTCCTTTCCCTTCATAGTATTGGTGCCTTGTCCTCTCCGTGAGGTGCAATGGTCTCTCAGGTCCTGTTCACAAGGAAAGACTGATGGAGCGTGAGATTGACAACGTGTGCAGTTGGAAAAATGCACACGTGAGGCTGTCGCTGTGTCAGGCACTTGTGGGAGCAGCGTCCGAATTCAGAGCTCTGGATTCCTTGCTCAGTCTTCATTCCCCTCCTCTCCCCTGTGATTACCAACCTTGGGCTCCAGATCCGTTTCCATCACAGAGAGACTGGACGCTGCCTTAGAAATGGGAAGAGGCGCTTAAGTCACACTGTTAGGAGCTCGGAATAGAGCCGCTGCTTCTTTGCATCAAGGTGAGACGGTTGGACATACTCTGGACGCACTCTGAACAAACTATGTCTCAGCTGACCCAAGAACGCCTCAGGATTATCTGCTTCTGCAATGGATAAAGCTGAAGAGGAGGGATAGATAGATGTATGGATTTTTAATGGATTTGATGTTGAAATGAAAGCTGATGATCTAATTCAGCCATTTAAAGATACAGTAAATGATTTATCCAGATGCAACTTTTACAATACTGTTATCATACATTTTCATACAGTCACACGAACAGATACCTGGAGCCTCAAAAAATAGATCATCAATATTTCGAGCGGCCCGATAGAACAAAACCAATGGGATGCTTTCACCCCCACCCCTCCTGCTTTTATTCAGTGTGCGCACCTGTATGAGTTGATATTGATAATGTTGTGGTTAAAAAGAGAACACCAGATGAGGAAAAGGTGTTGTATAAGAAAACTCAGGATGCAGCAAGGGCTATGTAATGCAACGGCAGTCGAGTTTTGCTAAGTTTGTTTGGGGAAGCTAGCTCTTGTCAAATTGCTGCTGGGAGTTGGGTTTGGTGGAGGGCAGGGGGAGTCGGTGCTACTGCTAAGCTAACCTGAATCATTTACTGAAGATCGGACTGACCAGAACTTGTTGGTTTTAAATCTCATACTTTTGTACTTTTGAAATGGGGTTCTGGAAGCCTCTCCGTCCTGGGTTCTGGGTCCTGGGTCCTGGGTCCTGGGACCTGAGACCTGGGTCCTGGGTCCTGGGTCCTGGGTCCTGGGTCCTGGGTCCTGGGTCCTGCCTCAGAATCTCGTCTCTTTCTCCTGTTTATTATTTATTCTCTACAACAAGAACAAGAGAGTGTCTCTGCTCAGCTACATCGAAACAATATTGTATTTGTATGAAGACTGGCATCATCAGCGTGAACTTTTGAATGAAAATGTGTGACGCAATAAACCACTGTTAGCATTTCATTAAGTCTGTTGTAGGGTTTTCTACTGGTTTAAGTGATGCTATATTTCTTACTTGACGTTAATTTTGACTATTTTTTACATCTATTTGATTGTGTGAATATGTTTTCTGTGTGTTTTATTTTGAGGGGTGGGGGTGAAATAAGGCTTTACCACAAAGACCACAAATAATTGGTTTCATATGTTATAGAATTATATACCCCATGAAGGAGAAAACTCAAAGGTCCTTTGTCTGATCAAAAGCGTAAGTTTATTGTTAACGCACAGTGCGGAGAGCCAGCACATACACTCCAAAAGCAGCATGTCCCAGCTCTGGGGGCCAGAGCCCCGAGCTTCCTGTATACAAGACACACACCAAAGATAGTCACGCCCACAACGGAGCGGAGGGGGCCACCGGTGAGGAGGCGCACAGGAAGCGCCGGCGCTATCCCCTGTGGTGGCAGTGGCATGGGGTGTGAACAGACAGACAATGGTGGAAATGCAGGTCATACAGATGCAAGACGGAAAGACACAAGGGTGTGACAGACAGCAGGGACCTTCACAAAGCTCAGCATGGCGTCAGAAGGTCGTCTGCATTGATAAAAGGCCTTTGACGTCCGTGTATTTGCTGCGGCTGGTTTTAATGTAATTACTCCAAAAACTGTCACCACACTCCCCTCTTTTGATAATTCAAAACCATTTTTGCATTAATCAGTTAAATACCAGAGGCATCGTAATCACACCACCTTCAAGCTTGAAACACTTAAATTATTGCTGTCCAAAGTGGACAAGAAAAGACACATGCTTGTCAATAAAAGAAAGAGCACATTATAATAACACAATGGATCCGGACAGCGATAAGAGAAGGCAATATTAACATAATAAACACGGTCAGCACGGAAAGTAGTGTCAGTGTGGCCAGCATAACAGTCCAAGGGCCCATTCCGGTCTTAGCCGGGCTACGTTCGGTAGTCTTTTCCGCGGGAATACTCACGAGCAGTGCCGTCTCGCAGTCAGTGGCACCGCTCCCTATGAGCGTGTGTGGAGCGTTAGTGGTCATGGCGATGTTTGGTCTTGGAGCGGCAAGACTCTAATTGCGTTGAAGCCTTGGCCTCAGCACTCGGTTGGGCAGAGTGCTCGGGGTTTGGGGTGTGGAGACCATGGCTTGAGCACGCTCCAGATCGGCCAGGCCCAAAGCTCATTTGATGGGAGACCTCATGACAGCACGCTTCACCATGTGCCTCATCAGGAACTGTAGAGCAGCCTCCCACCTCCTCCGGACACACGGGAGACGAGACACCAGGGGGCACTCCAGCAGAGCTCAAATCTGCATTATGGCCAGAGGGAACAAGCTCTGGAGAAATCTTTGGAATGGGCAGCAGCTCTGCATACTTGCTGCAGCTGAGCAGAGCGCTCAGGGCCTTCATGGCTCCCAAGCCTTGGGATCCGGGGGCTGGGGAGTTGGGCAAAAAGGGGGGTCGCCTCGGGAACGCTGGGATTCTCTGGGTGTTGTTGTTGGCCTGCTTCACCGACGGTGGCCGCACGCCGGCCGACTTCTTCATCGTAGGGAGCCGCGGATGGGCCTGGTCCGTCCGCGGCCCTCGGTGTCCTCGTCTATGGCCCTCAGTGGCAGCACCGCACGACAGTGGTTGGCGTGGATCCAAGTTGTCCTCTCCGCGACCTTAACGGCAGTGTCCGTCACCAGGAGGGCGAGGAATGGGCCGAGCCAGCGCTTGGACCGCCAGTGCTTTCGTCTCGTTTCCTTCACCAGGACCCAGTCGCCTGCGCAGCCTGTGGCAGGGCGCTCCTGACCTGGGCAGAAATAGAGGACAAAAGTGCATTAATTTCCTTACAATAGGACAGCATGTCGTCATCACACAAAGAGGTGCTTGGCAGATCTCTGTTCGGGGGTCCCTCTCCCAAGTTGGGTGGTCTGGCACAGAGGATTTCGAATGGGACTCTCATGCGCATGTACATGAGGGCTAGCGGCAGAGCTTTGAGTGCCATTCTCTCGCTCGCACGCGCCTCCGGGCCAGGGGGCGTAACTGCAGTGTTTACGTATATCAATGCCCAGAAATTCACCCACTTCCTCAATGACTTTTGCTACAAAGTGACTGCCAGTGTCACTAGAGATTTTTTCTCGGGGCACAATTTTTGTGAGCAGAGCTTTCACCACCGCGTTGCTTGTGGCGTGTATGCCTGCAAATACTTCAGTCCATTTGGACCAGAGATCCGCCAGAACCAGACAGTATTACTTACCTTGGCATGGTGTGAGTTCAACAAAGTCCCTTTGGACATGTTGAAATGGGCGCAGGGGCGGAGGATGAGCAGCCTGTTGGATACTTTTGGGACTTACCTGGGTTGTGCGCGGGGCATATAGCGCATGTTTGGCTGAATCTCTGTGCAAATGCCGTAAACCCCTTTGTATACCAATTTTGTGTGATTAAATCACACATCATCCCTCCTTTTGAGGCATGGTCTCGACCATGTGCTAAAATTGCAAACTGTCTGAAGAAATGCCGTGGTAGGCACGGTTTGCTGTCTGGTCCCAGCCACACACACCATGCCGTCGTTGAGCCCCATTCCCCTCCCACAGCAGCGTCTCTGCTGGAGTAGAAAATATCAACGTCTTGAGTGAGGTAGTGTGTGTGTGTGTGTGTAGAGGTGCGTATGCCGCTGCCTTGTCCGCGCGCCGATTCCCTGCAGAGATGGGATCAGTGGCATTAGTGTGGGCCTGGCATTTGCATACAGCGATCTCTAAGGGCAACATTACAGCTTTCAGCAGACGTTCAACCTGTGTGGAATTAAGAATTGGTTTACCATCAGATTTCATAAAATTGCGGTGTTTCCACAGTGCTTTCCAGTCGTGCACCACAGAGAAACCATAGCGCGTATCACAGAATAGGTTAACAGTTTTGCCCGCTGCCAGCTCACAAGCCCCGGTGGGCGCGACCAGCTCAGCGGTTTGTGCTGAGTGGTAGTGGGGCAAACTACCAGAGTCTATAGTATCAAAATCAGAACACACAGCATAACAGACTCGGTTCTTCCCAGTGTTGTCACGTGACGCGGCTCCGTCTGTATATAAAAAAAAATCAAGTCAGGATTAGTCAGAGGCACCTCTTTCAGGTCTGGCCTGGGAGTGCATATCTGTTCTATTGTGGCGATACAGCAGTGTTCCTCCCCTTCCTCTGGCGTGGGCAGCAGCGAGGAGGAGTTCAGCTGTGTGCATCCCTTCACCGTAGTTCAAAGAGCACCGTGTTGTACCCCAGCCAACGAGCCGCAGAAAGGCGAGAGGCCCTCTGCTCTAACAGGATCAGGGAAACAGCATGGGGCACAAGCAAAGTTAGTTCAGTGTATCCCACAAGGTCACGTGATGCTAGGGCCGCTTTCTCAGCGGCAGCCACAGCCCGCAGGCAGCGAGGCAACCCTGCTGCCACGGGATCGAGTTTTGCTGAGAAGTAAGCAGTGGGTCTCAGTGGCCCTCAGTGAGGCTGCAAAAGTACCGACTGTTCCGTTCATCTCCAGTTG